TGAATTAAACAATGCAGGCACAATTATTTATGAGTCTGTATGTGTGTTTTATTTTATAATGAAACGAATTTAAATTACGCATACATTAAGCGTGGATAATAATGCTTAACAGCTAATTCATGACCTTTGTTTAAAGTATTCTCGAGATTCTATTCCCTTGTGACAAATTGGTAACAAGCGTGGATAATAAAAAAGTTTATATGAAAGATGTCTCTAGGACTTTAACTTTATAATCGGTTCAGATGAGACTATTTTGTACGTTTTAATAACACGTTTTTCAAGTTAAGTCTTAAATTCTTTGAAAATTACTTTATATTATACCACTTGAGTTTTTTTTTTGGGTCGAATATACCACTTGAGTTAAGTGTCATGAAAATAGTTTTCTTCCTTAAAATATATGTATAGTTGAGGATTCATTTGAGAAAACTGTTTTTATATATGGTCGGTTCTATGCTTTTTGAAAAATATTAGACAAATTAGTGGGGCCCTGATAGACGAAATGCATATAATGGGAAAGCCAAAACTTGATAAAGGGAGCGTTTCATTTCCAAGTGAGGATTTTGTTATGGGGGGAAGACATCCAAGATTAGAACTTAGAAGAGCAAATAAACTCTTCAATTTATGAGAAGCTTTAGCCTTACACAACGAGCTACAAGCTTTGATGTCCGCCTACAACCTGAAATCAGGACTTTCTTTCTTCTTCTTCTTCTTCAACACCTCTAACCCTAATGAGACATTCTCTATCTTGAGTATAAGTTCTTTTTCTTTTTTATGCATGCAACTAGTTTCCTCTATCTCTAAATTATAGCCTCTGCAATTTGAAACTTTTGAAGCTTTTACTCACTTCATCGTCGTTGGAGAGCCTTTGACAAACACCAAAATGATACCCGCTTACTTTGAAAGTCTTTTTCTTTGAGCCAAACAGACTTTTCAACTTAACTGTAGGAGGTTTGCGTCCGTGGAAAAAGACTACCCCTACTACTAGTATTATATGTTCATGATGCTCCAAGTCCAAGCCTCCAGCCATCGCTTCCCTTCTAAAGCCAAGGGGGAGACGAAGCCCGGCAAGTGGGAAGACTCCACACATGTGGAAAAGTAGATAAGATACCATCTCCCATGATTTGCATCCGAATAATGCTAAACATACATCAATTAATTTTTTGAACTCTCTAAAATAGAATGAGACGTACATAGGTCTTATATGATTTCATACTTTCTCATATATTATGTGAGAGAATTGAGACAATAGTTGGGAAAATAGTTAGTGCGTCCAATATTATTATTTAAATTTCTCGAGATCTTTGGTCTTTCCACTTAGATATCTCAAAGTGATATTGGCATAGGAAAATCTTCTTATTGCCTATGAGATACAAGCAAAAAGTGTTAGGAGATGAGGATGTGATTTGGAAACATATCCAACTTCCACTGGTCGGCACCAACTAGCTATATATAGTCAACTGATATTTCTCCTCTCCACTTCAATATTGTAAGACGTTTGAACATTCTGCTCCAGTGAGAGTGAGCTAGCAGAGGAATAAAAAGGATAGTTGCTTCATACCGGCAGCTCATTCATATGAGTATGATCTTTTAAAATAATATATATTTTTTTTAAATTCAAATTATTAATCATTGATGAACTTTGATTAATTTCTATATATATATATTTGGTCTGGCTAAATTTTATAAGTGGCTAAGGAACCCTCCTTGGAAGCTTCTTATAGGAGGAGGATGCATTTAAGTTTTAACGCCAAGTTTGACCAGAAATTTGGGTCCCTGAAATTGGGCAGAAACCAAAGCAAGGAATCAACCAATGGGACACGTTTCATATATCTAGAAGGTCTCACCTGTGACTTGCGGATTTTGTACTCATCATTAGGCTCTCCACTAATTTATTATTGGTTAAGTTGACACAAAAAGCCATTGGGAAACATCAATACACAAGAATCTTTGAGTTGTCAACACAGAAAAGCCATGGGAAAGCCTCAATATACAGAATCTTCGGGACGACGCACAAGTTCATTTCATACTGTCATATAGTGTTACAAGTTTATTAAAGTCGCATAGTCTTATTAGTTATAAATTAATAACACTATATAACAACATGACTGTACGTAAGTCAAAATTTTCCGTTCTTTTAAATTAATGAGTGAACTATCTAGTTTGTTACCGCCCTAGAAAATCTGTCACTCCTAGTGTAGAGATTAATCGGGCATTCGAAGGCACTAGTCAAAAGCTAGAGCTAATTAAAAGGGCAAAGCCAAAAGATCTTGACATGAACACATTCGAGAAAACTAGAAAGAAAAATGAGTAAATGAAATGGAGCAAATGAAGTAAGATGGCATAGGTCATGCTAAAGGAGATTTCCCTGTCCATAATTATTGGAGACTTGGAGTTAGGATGATGGTCCACCAAGGGAACATCTCATGCACATGGAAGACTTTTTTTTTTGGGGGGGGGAAACTACCAATAATGTCTCAATATACTGACTTTTGTACCTGAAGTTGCATTCAAACCACTAGTTTAACTTTGATGATGGATACAATTGAGGTCATTTTAGATATCAAATTTTTCAGCCCCGATCTTTTGGACCACAGGGGTCTAAGAGATTTGTGGTCACCCACCGTTGGATGTTAATCTAACAGTTTAAAAAAGTTTCTTAAAAAGAGTGCAAGAGTGAGTGAACCGTTGAATTTACATTCAACGGTGAGTGACTACAAATCCCTTGGATCTCTGTAGTCCAAGAGATCAGGACTGTCAAATTTGTTTATTTGGTTTTAATTTTTTCGTATTAATAAAAATTAAGAGGGAAAACCTTGAATTATTATTTTTATATATTTTTTTTTGTAGAATTCAAGGTTTAGTTATATTATAAAATATTTAAATATTCCAAGATAAGATTAAGCTATACAAGTAGGCCCTTATTATAAGTTGGTTTTGTATTAGCGGCCCTTAATACAAGTAGTTTTACTATAATTATCTTTCTTCTTCTCTTCTTTCAACCTCTATTGAGTCCAATTATCTACTCTTCCCTTTCTTTCTCCTCTTTAGGATGAACAATCCCTATCTAGTTTGTTTAAGAAAATGCGAATATCAGCATCATAGCCTACTCCTCCCTTTTAATGATTTGGCTAGTGAAAAGTCACAGACTCACAGTCAATGCTCTAATTAGGATAAATATAGAGGTAAAGTCTACATTAAGAATTATTTAAGGACTTTTAATATCAAACATTAAATCGCATATATAGTCTATTAAAAAATATATTTAATTCACTAACATATCTACTCGATTAGTGAGATTAATTAGAATTTCTCAACTAGTTTTTAAAAAAGGAAAATACTTTCCTCCATGCCATGAAAGTATGAGCTTTTACGTTGTTGTCAATAGCAATGTGATATGTGTGCAGAAGTTTTTCCTTTCGTGTTTTTGATGAATTATTTTTGTATATATGTCAAACTGTGATTCGCATGAAAGATGAACATCTCTTTACATGGAAGCTCAATAAAAACTCTTTGTATATATATATATATATGCAGAATGCATTCATTTCATTTGGACAGCTCTCCAAGTGCTTTACCCTGTCACCAGAGCAGTGCCTGGCCAATTGCAGGATATTTATCTTCTATTGTGTCTTTGTCAGGTTTTCATTATACCCAAATAAATTTAAGTTTGTTAGGACATCAATTATTATAATATGGTAGAAGTTTCCTATTTTATATTATAATTGAACACAAAGTTTCAGCTTTTGATTCTTTCAATTTTGCTTTGTCCCTAGAGTTGGCCCAAAAACCCTATTTGCTAACTGCATGTTATAAAAACCCTAAATCACTTTGGTCCTTTGACCTCTTAGCTTCACGGGAGAGTAAAAAGTTGTTGGAGCTGATATGAGCATGTAACATGTATTATGTACCACACGTTTTAAAAACCCTAAAGCACCGTCAATGTTGACTGTGACAGTATGTCATGAGGCAAACACATTCTGGGTCATGCCAGCCATGACTCATAGCAGTAAAAAAATTTATATACATCACGCCCAACATGCACAATAATTTGTTCGGAATTGTGAATCAAATACAAATGTCGTATTTTTTTATTTAAAAAAGTCAACAAATGGGTTAATTAAGTGGTATAAATTGTACCGAAGTCTTTTGAGATGAAATTCTATATGTGGATGGGCTCGGAGGGTATATCACACCGTGACCAATCTATGCGGTTAATTAGGGAGAATGTTGATTTAAATTACCTGGCTGGCTAGGTCTTTATCGATTTATCTAGTTTTGCATTTGTAGGATTTTCCCCCTTTGCCGTACTCTATTGTTGATTCCGAAAGTGATAACAACTATAGTTTTTTTGGTCTGAAAATGACAACTAAAGATGATTTTTCAAATATTTGTGCGAGGTAAAGGCACTAATAATGATTGGATCCTGCTAAGCCCAAATGTGGGAAGATTTTGAATCCAGCGACCCAAATATGGTAAGATTTTGATTTCCTGAGCACAATACCAGGATCGGGAGGGAAATGTGAGAAGAAAAGCGTTGCATCTTTCCTTCAATATCTCCCAACATATAATGCTAACAGATGCCAACACTTCCTTTCGCACATGACTAGGAATTGCAGAATTGGAGCTCAGGGCCAAAAGCCAAACATCGAACTTGGAGATTCTCTGCATATCCGGTTTGTAGCTCAGAGGTGCGCCAAACCACACACCCTTCACCCGCGGACAAAGAAATAAAATATGCTCCAAAGATTCCTCATGTGGTTCACAGAAAGGACATAGAGGATTGCAACTAACTTTCCTCCTATATAAATTAAATTTGGTAGGGATGGCATTTGACACTACCCTCCAAAGGAAGTTCCTTATCTTTGGAACCACGTCAATTTTCCAAGTTGTTTTCCACACTTGAGTATCAATCTGGTGAGAAGAATGGGCAGGAAGGGACTTTTTGCCCAAAGCTCGAGAAAGCCCAACTCTTCACAATAACAGCCCAAAAGGCATACGGATTATTCCAGTCTCCAGCACTGCTTTGCGAGGACGGCTACATTGAAAGTCTCAATGTACCTGAAGCCCATACCTCCATCACTCTTGGAAAGGCAAAGATGCTCCCAGCTTTTCCAGTAAATCTTGTTCCCTCCGTCATCCCGCGATCCCCGCCAAAATCTACTAAGATCCCCATTAATAGCTTTGCAAGTGGAGGAGAGAAATTTGAAACAAGACATAAGATATGCAGGTATCGCAAGAGGCACAGATTTGATTAGAACTTCCCTACCAGCCATGGTCAAAGAACTGGCTTTACAACCATGTACCCTCTTCTGAATTTTGTCGCAAATATACCCTCAAGCCTCCTTTTTTGATATGCCCCGATTTGCTGGGATCCCAAGGTAAACTCCGGGATCGGTGGTTGGGTTGATCCGAAGAGCTACCCCAATCTCAGCTTCTAACTCGGGGGAAGCATTAGGAGACAAATAGATGAAGGATTTGCTGTAATTCACCTGTTGTCCAGATGCCGTGCAGTACCCATCAAGCAAATTCAGGAAACTTCTGCAGTTCTGGCTAGTGGTTATCAAATAGACTAAAGAGTCATCTGCAATAAATAAGTGGGATAGAGTTGGGCCTCCCTACTAAGTTTAATTCCCTGTAATGTTCGAATCTTAGAAAGTTTGTTCTGTCAGCATTACTATTCTTTCAATAATAGGGTTTGATCTTTAAATGAAATGATTCAACTGGAACTGATGAATCAAAACATCTATTAGCAAACATCCATATTTGAACATGAATGAGGTGAAACCACAAACAAGAGGATAACGACGTTTCGAATGAGCGGCTGAAGCGTTCAATGAAAAGGGTGCAGTATTTATAACCAAGCAGAAAATTCCATTAACAAAAATTTCAAAGGAAAAGTTTCAGATTTCAAAATAAGTACAGAATCTGCTACTAAGCAATTATTAGAGCAAACAAACACAAAAAAATCAAGAGCACCACTTGAGACTAGCACATAAATGTATGCACTTTGGTTGCCAGCCAATGGTCATTTTTAAGAGCTGCCTCATTCCTTCTTTCCAATCCCATGTGACATGTTGTAGACTCCTCGTGCCTGGAGGAAATGTCATAAAACCTTACAATTAGATTGCAAGAAGTACGGAAATTTACGCTTTCCTCATAAATACGGCTTAGAAAGCCTTAAAAGACGTGAAATAATTAGAAACTTACAATAAGGAACAAAGAAGATGCAGCTAAAGCAGCTGGAATGGCGACAGAGGTGATCTTATCATAGGGTCCCTTCAGATATGTGTATTTGTGGACGCTTTGGAAAAATTTTTGTTTCTCGAGGAGCTTCTCACGTGGTCGGAAGGGTGCTTCTTCTGACATCCTGTATTATAGATCAAAACATTATTAAACGTCATTTTATGAAAGCAACTTCCAAAAACTAAACTTCTCCTGAAGGGGAAAGACCATCGTGCACTCTCTGGTCTATATTTAGGGTTCAACTGAAGTCGCACCAAAGAAAAATATCAACACTGGATACGCACCATAAACCCAGAGGGGGAAAGCACAAGGCCTCAATTGCTAAAGAGAGACAAAGGTTGCCCAAACTGTCCCATTAGACCATACACTAATCCTTCTAGTTACACTGAAAAGAAAAGAAGGGGAAGGGGGCAGTCTACCAAATTAGGACAGGATGGACTTAATTCGACTTAATCAATGCACAAACTCTGCATCAAGCTTCTGCAGAAACGCAGCAATTAGCTACTTGTGATGTCAGAATTTATTAAATTTGGTTTAGGTCAATAAATATTTTCATATATTTCATTTTCAACTTAGGTAAAAACCCCTCCTCCCACTTAGGCAATAATTCCAGCACTCACTGACCTATTCCAAACACAAAATGTGTACTACAAAATGGTATTGTAAACTAACAAGCACAATTTATACACCAGCATCAGTAGCCACACTACTTGTCCACTGTACAATCACTTTCAAATAGTTAAGAGCAAAAACGAACTGGATTTATTAGATACTCATCTTTTCCAACACGACACGGCCAAGTTGAACAGAGAACAGATCAGCAAAACAATGCGCTAATTTAAAAAATAACATACATACTAAAATGAGAAACAAAAAAAAAAAGTAGGTATAAAGAAAATAGTAATACATCATCTGGCTCCATTCTATTTAAGCTTCATTATTTCTATAGAATTCTTTACACTGTCTTTATAATGATGAATACTCAGGTGCATGCACACACATAAATCATTATGAAACTACTATCATGTGCAGTTCAATTCAACTGATAATGATGTGGACGAGCTTATAGTTTATTCAATCATCATGATCACGAAACTAAAGCTCCAGAATGCTATCTAATACTGTGACTTTATCAATCTTCAGGAAGACCCTTAGGTGTCAAAAAATGGAAGTTAAGAATCACTTCACAGACAATAGTGACATACAATGCTGGAGATGAATCACGCTGGACTGAATGAGTTATCTTGAACCATTAAGAAAACAAAAAGAAAATTATTCAAATATTTCATCGTTTCTATTCCCATCACATGCTTGCATTTCCAACAGAAATTCATGTTTTGTAATATTAAAAAATAGAAAACACAGAAATCGTGTTTACATCGATGCTATAATAAACAAAACTAACTTTTAGTCTCCCAGTTCATGGAATACATGATCTGAAAACCAATTTTGTGGTTTGACAACAACTTCAACATATAATACAAGAAAAATTGTTATAAACTCAACTTGGATGAATATTTGAAATTTAGAGACAAACATAAAGTCATAGAAAGTAAAGAATGTCATTACCAAACTCATCATCCGCTCACCAGGATTATTCCAAAAGGATGGTAATCAAAATTCATAAACCAACAGCAAAGAAAAACCATAAATCCCCTTCTCAATCAGTCCACAAACTTGAAAACTGAATCCAACATATTGATAATTTATGAAAGTTCAGTTAATATGTGCCAAACAATTTGCTAGTACACTATCTTAATGCACCAAGAAATTTGCTAGTACAGTATCTTAATGCCATTTTCTTAGTCAATGAAGCACCTCGAAATAACGATGGGTCAGATTCAAACTGAAGACTTTCGACCTTTTTGTGTGTGCATAAAAGTGGTATTTCTGAGAATGCAATTCTACAAATTAATCGTTCCTCTCTATTCTTAAGTCTAAAACATAACACCATCATAAACCCAAAACTGTCGAACATGAGTTACTGAAGCCCCAGTCCTTACCACTCAACCCACAACTTACCAACCAAACAAAATTACTAGTTTGCAATAAACGTCATGACAAATTGAATAGAAAATTGACATCCCACATCAAGATTGAATCAACGGAATTCCTTCTGAAATTTTCCCCCAAAAAACAGGAAACCCTAATTGAGCAACCATCTAATCGGGTCATTAAAGAATAAAAATATAGCAACCGCTTAAGCCGATCAAATCACAGAATAGGGATCGATGAAATAATAAATGTAACGGGAAAATGAAAACAGAGACAAGCGACAAACACTAACCCTAGATCTAAGCGTTAGCCCAAATCAGATTGGTGGGAATTCGAATATGGGATGAAGAAATAGGGGAAGAGTGGAGAAAATCTTACGTGAAATTGGGAGTGGCTGGAGCTCGACAATCACGTTTGGGAAAGCTGACGATGCCGAGGGCTGGGAGAAGATAGTAGAAGAAGGTGAAAATGAGATGGAGATTTATAGTCTAATACCGTATACTCACACTAGGTAGGTCACGTTTGGGAAAGCTGACGATGCCAACCGCGGATAAATGTTGCGGATTAATACGTCAGGGGCCAAATTGGGTTTAAAAAGTATCCATTATTTTATTTAAAAAAATGAAGAAGAAGAGAGAATTGGGGGTAAATTAAAAGTTAGGTATGTGTTTAGGGAGCAAATCAAGAGTTAAGCCTTTGGTTTTAATGGAAATAGAGATGTTAAACGAACTGTGTTGAGCTGGCCCGATCTATTTAGAGTTGGCCTTGTCCATTTAGGAAAATCATCAATTCCAGCTTGAGCCTACAGCTCGAGCTTATGTGGCTCAGGTCGCGCTCATGTCGAACTCCTAAACGGATCGATATGGGCTCACTTCAAATTTGACTTATGTATTGCTTCTTCTTTTTTTGTAATTTTTTTTTACTACTTCATTTATTTATTTTTACAATTATGTATATATTAATAATATTTATTATTTGTTATGAAAAATAGGTCAATAACTTTATTTAAATAGCCTCTTCGCATTCCCTTCTGCATCTGTGAGAGGTTTTTTTTAAATAGAAAAATTTAAATTTATTTTAGAATTTAAAAAGATAATAGGTAGTTGTATTCCATAAAAATAGAATCAATTATCTGATTTTTCTTTTAATTTTAATTTTTTTTAAAATATGAAAAGTATGAATTTACCATATTATCATAATTTAATTAATAATTTCAATTCTTAATGTTTGTATTAACCAAGGACATTTTATGATATTTTGAATGTTTCACAATTCTCTGTCTTTTGCTTTATATATATATATATATATATATATATATATACATTTAAATAAAACATGGCTAGATTGTTGTTTAGGTTTTAAAAATTGAAAATTGAAAAACAAAATCATTATTTTATATATAAATAAAACTCTAAATTTTAATATATATTATTAAAGAAAAGCAATAGACTTGAATATAAGATATAAATGTAATAATATTATGTATTATTTTTCTCTAAAACAAGTATAATTTAATAAATGGGCTTTCAATGGACCGGGCCCATTGAGTTTTGGGCTGGCATGACAATTGACGGGGCACGGGCCACCCCAATTCATTGGATCTAATTACCTTGTTTTGGCACGGCCCAAAGATACTAGCTGTGCCGTGCCAGGCCTTACTTAAACCGGTTGTTCTCGTGCCATGTCAAGCCGGCCCGGTATGTTTGACACCTCTAAATGGAAATGAGTTTTATTTTCTTTTTTAATTGGCCCATAATTTGAATGATTTTCACTATGGTAGTGAATTCAGTAATTGCGTTTAGGTCCATGTAGTAATTCACAATAACAATAAAGGACAAATCAAATTGTGACCCTTGAAATAGGAGAAAAGAGATAATAAGGTCCTTGGCACCTTCCAAGGCAAGAACGTATCAACCAGTTGACTTGGTTTATATACTATCAAAATCCAATTTGCATCAAAATACCGTTTAAGTACAAATGTATATTTTGTATCATGCAATCATGGTATACTTTAGTCAAAACTTTTTTATGTTGTTGCTCTCAAACCCAAACCCTAGTCTCCCTACAATGTTGCAACAAGGGGGAGGTCCTCTCTGCCCTCTTCCCTTCTCTCTCATCTCTTCTCCCTCATCTTTTCTCCTCTTCCCTTTCAACCTCTCTCTCTTTCTCTCTCCAAATTTATGAGGGTTCTTTCTTTGTTCATGTAGGTTCTTAGGTTGCAACAATTTCGGTGATCTTTACCATGTCCCCACTGCAGTACCGACGACAATGGATTTAGTGCTTTTCGTTTTTGTTTGGGTCTCCCTTCTTCCATGCCTTAGTTATGGGCTTGGGTTGGCTTTGTTTGGGTGTGAGTTTTTAGTGTTGAATAACCGTTGTTGATACCATCATTGGCCTCACGTGCTCTCTCCAATATAGTGGCCTCCCACGTGGGTTAAGTCTTATATACCCTATCATTTGATAAGGCAGGAAACCCATGCACATAAAGGAAGGCCCACGCCTCCTCCTAGTTGACCTAGCATGCCCAAGCAAGTGGACCACTTATGTTGGTCTCCCACATGCCGCAAGGACCACTTATATTGGCGTCCTTCATGTGCCTCAAGTGACCAACTCATGTTGCACATTAAACAAGAGGCATGCATGGCTTCCATCTTCTTCCTATATTATGGAAAATACCCATTTTCCAACGAGAGGCCCATTTACGATTGAGAGGGGCTTATGAGAGACCTCAACAGGCTCTCCCAGTTACTATTCTAAGACTCTAGAGCCTCTTTCCACGTATATTGTAATACTCCTTCATAGTGAAATATAAATACCAAGCTCTACAATGACTGTTCGTATATCCTTTAGGGCCTGTGCTAAATCACTCGTACAGTTGGCGTTGTATGTGGGAAACGTAGACAAAAGGTCTCATTTTTCTTTATCATACTGAGCCATAGTCATCAGCCATCGTTTGGCAAACCATGTTTGGGTCTGCAAATACTCTAAGTCAATAATATGAATCGTGTCACATCCTGAGATCGGCTCCACTGTAGCACGATATTGTCTGCTTTGGGCCCCTCCTTTCTGCCCTCATAGTTTTATTTATGGAAACTCACGAGCAACTTCCCAATGGGTTACCCATCATGGGATTGCTCTAGCCCCAACTCGCTTAACTTCGGAGTTCTCATGACTCCGAAGTCAATGAGCTCTCCAAAGGCCTCGTGCTAGATGGAGATGGGCATGTGCATATAAGGCACATCACCCTATTTCCATTGGTCAATGTGAGATGTTACAATCCACCCCCATTTAGGGGCTCAATGTCCTTGTCAACAAACTCGTACCACACGGTAGAGTGGCTTTGATACCAAATTGTCACATCCTGGGATAGGCTCCGCCATAGCACGATATTGTCCACTTTGGGCCCCCATCTCTGCCCTCAAGGTTTTGTTTTTAAGAACTCACTAGCAACTTCCCAGTAGGTCACCCATCTTGGGATTGCTCTAGCTCTAACTCGGTTAACTTCAGAGTTCCTATGACTCTGAAGTCATTGAGCTCCTAAAGGGCCTCGTGCTAAATAGAGGTAGGCATATGCATATAAGGCACATCACCCATTATCCGTTGGTCGATGTGAGATGCTACAAATCGCACCAAGCCAGTTATAAAATCCCATATATATATATATATATATATATATGGCTCCCCACAGTTAGAATATGTATCATTTTAAAACTATTATAAGGGAGCTTGACTCAACTTTATCCATGTGCCCACTAAAGAGAGAATAAATCTCTTCTTGCCATGATATTTACATTATAATATTGTATGCTAATACTATCTTCCTGCCATGTTATGCAAAACCTATGTACTATTAAGATGCCTTGTGGCCATTGCCATCAAGAGACCCTTTATAAAGCCAACCACGTGAAGGCATAAAATATGTATATTTTTATATGTTTGAAAAATGAGATGCACATGTTGACTTTATTATTGTGCATGTTTGCGGTGCCACGCCACTTTTATGTCATATTCATTGGTTGTTTACATTTGGCTCGGTAGTAAATGCCCATGCATGTTAGAAATTACCGCCCCACCACCAATGCATACTCCTTAGCATATGAGTGGCAAATAAATTTACATGCAAATACAACTGCTCCACCATGCTAATACATTACAAACATGCTTACATAATATGCATTGTTATGTGATCAGCTCGGCATTACAGTTCCAAGGTGTGCTCAAACCATCCTAGTATGACCTTTCCAAAATGTGCTTAGCTTAGCTTGATGCCACACCTTGCATGGCAAACCTCCACGTCACATGTCGACCCAACCTCCTTGCATGGTTGACCACCACGTTGTTGGACCAACAAGAGTTGAAGCCAATGCACCTTTTGGACATACAACTTACATGGCTGGCATACTTGTTGCTCATGAACCTCACCATTCTCCAAGTTCGTCTCTGGCCTTGGATGCCTTATTGGACACATAGGCATGAGGTGCTCTGCACCATTCAAACGTCAAAACACCTCATGTCAATTGCCTTATGATTTCCATCAAGCACCACTCTACCAACCCCTATATCGCTAAGACCCACGTCAACAAGCCAGGCACTATGCAAACATCTAACGTGTCAACGTCCACCATACTATCAAGCAATAATTCGCCCAACACCATGCTGCATGGATCGGGTCTCTCTTGCCAGCTGTATGTTCCTTGTTGTCACCAACAATCACTGTTGGGATAGGAGTTCCCACACATGCTTTGGCACCTTCACCATCACAAAGAGCACCCACTTGGGCATTTCAAAGAAAAATATCCTTTTAGCATTGCTGCCGACTGGGTATCATTGCTTTCGACCACACATGTCGACCCTCAATATATTTCTTAGCGTGAATCTCTGAAGTATAAGGAACCGCTCAGCTCTCCCACTACCGATGTCACTGACCCGATTTTGCTTAGTGCCAGTTCTGTCGCTACGGACCAGATTTTGTCATCATGACACCTACTCGCTCACCTTGCATACTTGGCATATTGCACTGTTAACTTCAAGGTTGGACTCGAGCACCTTGTATAGGTGGCTCTTCGCCTTGATGGGTTGACCACCATCTTGCATGTTTACCGTCAACGTCGCATGTCGTACCGAGCAACTTGCAGCAAATCTCCACATGGCATGACCGAGCCAAGCAACTTGCATGGAAAATCTCCACATTGCATGGCATACCCAACCACCTTGCATGGCCATCCACCACGTTGAACAACCGATCCAAGTACCTTGCATGCTTAATCTCCACGCTGTAACCGACGGAACCACGCCGCATAGATGACCCAAACACTTTGTATATATGGCCATCCACCACCTTGCCACCTTGCATGGCCAACCACTACGCTTACATGACTACTCATATTGCATGGTTGATTCTCCAAGGAACAAAAACTCTCCTTACTAAGGCACAGGTTGATTGACTCGGCCAAACAAAAGTTTACTTTAAAGTTTACAGTCGAGAACAAATTTTCAACTAGAAACTTGGGTGCTCAGGGCACACCATGTATATCGACCTTACCAAACCTCCAACATCATAGTTAAAGAGAGACATTGAAATCTCGCCATGGTTAAAAAGAGACGGAGGGAAAAATAAATCTCCAGAGATGTGCTCGGTTCATTTGTATTATCTCTATCATGTCCCACTATGCTCGGAGTGGGGATTGTAGACATCACATCTAGTTGGATGGTAATTGTCTCAATGCTACCTATATGGTTAAAAAGAGAAGAGGAACCCCACCTTCAACATCTCCTACCATGGTTTAAGAGAGACAAGAAAGTCCCGCCATGGTTAAAGAGAGACGAGGAAGTATTCCCTACCTTGAACATCTCCTACCATGTTTTAAGAGAGAAGAAAGTCCCACCATGGTTAAAATAAGACAAGGAAAAATACATCTTCTGGTGGTAGATGTCTACCTTAGCCAGTTAACAAATAGTGTGTCATATCACACATAATCATCATAACATAGCATACAACATCACCATGCCATCATCCCTCATCATGTCATCACATACATCATCATAATGTTATAATGTGATATCTCATGTGTAAACTCCATTATAGCTTATACAACAACCTAGACCTACAAAGGCTTGCCACCGACACTACTCGACTCACCAACTAAGATCGACATGACTCTGCTCGCCACTTAGGCCTATGGAGGCTCGCCATCGAAAGTTATATAGCTTGCTTGACCCCCCAACCATTCACAGCAAATAGCTCATGACAGGTTATGACTCTCAGCTAGCTGTTCGGCTCGGCCAACTGTATTAACTTGAAAGTTCCTAGTCAAGAACTCATTCTTAACTAGAAACTTGGGGACTCCTATTGATACCATCATTGGCTTCACGTGCTCTCTCTAATATAGTGGGCTCTCACGTGGGTTAAGTCTCATATACCCTATCATCTGACAAGGTAGGAAACCCATGCACTTGAAGGAAAGTTCATGCTTTCTCTTAGCTGGCCTAACATGCCTACGTAAGTGGACCACTTATGTTGGTCTCCTACATGCCGCAAGTACCAACATTGGCCTCTTTCCTGTGCCTCAAGTGACCAACCCATGCTACCTATTAAATAAAGGGCATGCATGGCTCCCCTCTTCTTCCTATATAATGGAAGAGACCCCATTTCCAGTAGGAGAGGCCCATATCCAATTGAGAGGGGCTTATGAAAGACCTTCAACATGCTCTCCTTTCTACTATTTTAACGTTTGGGAGTGCTTCTTCTCGAAGCGCTTATGTCAGTAGCACTTATGCCAGTAGCACTTATAACATAAGCGCTTCTACAAAGAAGCAGTTTATCGTTTGGACGTCACATTTAAAAGTGTTTTCCCAAAATATTATAATAAACATAGGAAAAAAAAAATTAACAGGATTCCAAAATAAAAACACGGCTTAAAAAAGTTGTGAAATGTAAACATAGTGATGGATTAATAGAAGCTTAAAGGTTTCCATGGGTGTTTTGGCGTCTGATAGGTTTTGGCGTCTGTTGACCTTTTCGCGGGTAGTGTTTTGGTTTTAATAGGAGACAAAAAGAGAGAAAAAAAAAAATTAAAGAAAGGGTATCTTGGCATTTAAAAAAAAATTAAATATAGGTATTTTTGGCATTTTAAAAGTTTCATTAAAGGGAGCCAAGTGCTTCCCTTGTTTTTGTCATGCAGAGCTTTTAAGAAGAAGCACATCTCAAGTGCTTCTTCCAAAACCACTCCAAGTGCTTTTGGATCTCACCCAAAGTGCTTTTGCAATTTTTGCCAAACACCATTTTTAAAATACATAAGCGCTTTTACTCATTTAGAAGCACTTTTCGCTGCTCCAAAAGCACTCCCAAACGAGCCCTAAGGCTCTATAACCTCTTTCCATGTATATTGTAATGCTTCATCACAATGAAATATAAATACCAAGCTCTACAGTGGATGTAGCCATTTTCATGGGTGAACCACTCTAAATCTGTGTAATGTGTGTGATTGTCGTTTTATGTTGTCAATGGATCTCTATTGATTGTAACCCTTTTGTGGGTGGTTGTAGTGACACTTGTGGCTATTGTATTTGTATTGTGGCATAATTTTTGTATTTGTATTGACCAATAAACTAACCAAATCGAGACTGATCGATTCGGTTTAATTTTGAAATTTCAATTTCAGTCTACAAACCGCGCTAAATCTATTCAACCACGGTTCAAATATACTCAAACAGTCAATTCAATGAATCGAACTGGCAACCGAATATATGGCAAAAAATCATGCGCCTATGAGGAGTCAAACCTCTGCACTCCATGTTGGAGAATGAAGTCCTCCTACCACTGCGATGATCGTTGTTTCGTGAATTAAATGCATAATCAAGGTATTTAATGACTTCCTAGAGTAAAATTAAAAAAACATTATAAAAATTTCCCGAGCTTTCACCCCCCCCCCCCCCCCCCCCCTATCTCTTCTCTCTCCAGCCGCCTAACTCTTTTTTAGCTTCCTCCAAGTCTTTTCTTCTTCTTCTCCTCCTCCTCCTCCTCCTCATCATCCTCTCTTTTCTTCTCCTCTTTATATCTATGTCTCTATCACCATGAAATCATCAACTCCTCTTGAAGACCCTAAGGCTATTAACGCCTTCATGAAGAAATACTGATGCATGTGATGGTGGATGTCGTGATCTCTTTATTTCTTTGGTTTTGGGTTGTGGTCATTTACCGAAACTGACCGAGACCTAAAAAGTCAGTAACCGACTGTCGGTGGTTCCATTTTAGGCCATACCGGCGCTTGTTGGTTGATTCGTTGGTTCCTCCATTTCCGGTTGGTTACCAAATCAATTCCACCCTACAAAATACTTTTTCTATAAACCCTATATGTAAAAGAAATATTCCTTCTTCTTTTTTGCCCTAAAATATATGACTACAATAAATGTCATTGTTGGTTAACATAATTCATCTCCAGGCAATTAAATTTGAAACTAAAACAAGAGAACTATAAAGAAATCATGTTTATTAGAGAATTAAGGTAAAAATAAGAGAAATTATTTGTCGCTGATGCCTATTGTCAAATTTCTTGTAGTGAAATGGGATCAATGAGAAGAAAAGAATATCAGAAAGAGAGAGTACTTGGATAATTCTGAATGTTTATTCTTTCCAAATGGAATTCTATATATAAGGTACAAAGACTTCTCTTCTAAGGAAACTTTTTTTTTTCTTACAAGGAAAGAATTATACAATAAAACATTTTTATCACAAATGGTCCCTTAGAGCATCTCCAAGGGAGATGTCAAATACCAAACATCAAATTTAAATTTGATGGCTGATGTGGTATTTTGATATTTATACAGTTTTACACTCCACCCGATATGTCAAATAAATAATTATTGTAACAGTCAAATCATTTAAAACAAAGAAGAAAAAAAAAATAAAAAAAATAAAAAAATAAATGAAAGTAACAGCTAGCTGTCTTTAAAAAATAATAAAATATTCATTTGACATCTTGCTTTTGGGATGTCAAAAATAACATCTCAACCTCCAGCCTTCATTCCACATCAGCTTTGACACATCGGTTGGAGTGATGTGAGATGTTATTTATAGCTGTTAAATGTCTATGTGACACTTTTGACATATCGGTTGGAGATGCTCTTAGATTGGTGAAATTATCGCCTTTCGTCCTTAATGTTTTTTTTGTGACACTAATGGTCCCTAAGGTTACCCTCTGCACATCAAAATGGTCTATGATGTCAACTTCCATCAAATTTTCTATTAAAATGCTGATGTGGCACATACATGTGCCACACATCCAATAATATAGAGCCACGTGATATTAAATAATATATTTAAAATAAAATTTAAAAAATGATTAAAACTTAAATAAATAAATAAAACTTGCAGCCATCCTCTTTTAGCCCTCCGCCCTCCCTTGCTTCTGCCTCTCTGCCATTTCTCCCTCTCCCACTCCCTCTGTTTTTCCATGCCCACTGAGAAATCCCTCCTCTTCCCTCTTCCCTCTTCCCACTCAATTAAAACAAAACAACAAGAAGAAACCAACACAATTTCAATTTTTAAAGCATGTACACAGTACAGTAATCACAAAAGCTTAATCTCTATCAGCAGCAAACAAAAAAAAAAAATCAATCATCAGATTCATAGCCGCTTCCTCCACCCCTTCAAACCAACTAAGAGAGAGAGAGATTAATACCCATTCCATATTTGGACCCCCATGCTTTCCTCAACTATCGAAACCAATTATGCCTTTGCATTAGATCCATTTACCCACCCAGATTACGACCCAGTTCTTTGCTTGTCTGACCATCACCAACAAATCTAAGAGAGAGAGAGAGAGAGAGAGGGGTGGGTTGGAAGGTTGGAAGGAGAAGGAGAGCGGTAGGGGGCGAGAAACAACTTCATTTTTCAAATTAAAATAAAAAAATTTAAGTTTTAATCTTCTTTTTTTTTTCCCTAAAAAAATTTAATTTTTTTAAAATATTATTTAAAAGCCACATGGCTCTATATTATTGGATGTGTGGCCCATGTATGTACCTCGTCAGCATTTTAATAGAAAATTTGACGAAAGTTGACGGCAGAGACCATTTTAATGTGTGGAGTGTAACGTTAAGGACTATTAGTGTCACCAAAAAAATTAAGGACGAAAGATGATAATTTTGCTATCTTTAGGGACCATTTGTGATAAAAAGCCTAAAACATAATTACAATTGGCAATTAATTACAAATTGGTCAACATATAAATCATATCCTAAATAGGATTCACATCAACACAACAATCATATTTTAGTATTAGCCAATTATAAATTTATTTCTCATCGAAAACAAGTCGCCAATAAAATATGAGATGAATATTGTCGCTCCCAAAAATCACCGTATTGTGATGACATTTACATTGTTCGCATCAATGATCAACAATAACACGACCTGCCCAAACTTTACGCTAATTTGAGTTTAACACAATTGTTGACCATTAAAGCCTTATGAGAGAAGTTCCAAATCTTTTAAAAGAGTGCTAAAATAAAGTTTTAAAATGGACTCAAATGAGCAAGTTATGTGTATTATAAGATAAGTGGTAAATGATAATTCTTGTCTATTTTTCCTTTTATTTTCATTTTTTGTCGTTTTTATCACGAATGATCCCTAAATGTTTTCAAAAGTGCCGATTTTAGTCCTTCAACTTTCAAATAAATCAATGATGTCCTAATCTTTCAGCTCACATATAATTTTGGTCCATCTTATGGTATTCTGTCAAAATCTTCATTAGAAGTGCTCACATGCATGTAACCAACTTTAAAGCGGTATTATGTTAAAATCTTTATTCAAGCTCCCATTATCTGCTCTCGTTAGTGGAACCCAAATGTGAAAATCTAAATGGTATATTGAGACATTTCAAAGAACATGTGATAATCTGAGATTATTTTGATAAAAATACATGTTTAACAAAAGTTTTGCTAGAATACTTTTAATGGAAGTTTTATGAGAATGCGACATTATAGACTCAATTGATATGTAGACTAAAAATAAAGGACCATGGTTTGATAGTTTATTGCTAAAAGAGGACTTTAAAAAAAGGCTTATTTATGGATATGTCACATGTGCTTTCAAAATAGTCTCAGATTACCACATGTTCTTACAATAAGTGTTTCACACTAGCTATTTCGTCAAATTTGAGAGAAGTTCTGTTAGCTTATGTGGCCCCCACTTCTTTTCAATCTCTTAACAAGGGAGATGAAGGGTTAGTCAAGTTGAGAAATGGGGAATTTGGGAGAAGAATGTTAGGTTGAGGGAATTTCATATTTAGGAATCTGCAGGTTCAGACTTGGGAGAAAATGAGGGATTTGGGGATTTCAGATTTGGGAGAAGAAGGTTGGTTTGAATGTTGTGGGGATCTCCCAAATCTGAAATTCCCCCAACCTAACATTCTTCTCCTAAATTCCCCATTTTCTCAACCTGACTAACCATTCCTCTCCCTTGTTAAGAGATTGAAAAGAAGTGGGGGCCACATCAGCTAACGGAACTTCTCTCAAATATGACGGAATAGCTAACATGAGACACTTATTGAAAGTATAAGTGGTATATTGAGACATTTCAAAGAATATGTGGTAATCTGAGACTATTTTGAAAGCACATGGGGCATATCCATAAATAAGCCTTAAAAAAATTTAAATGACCAATGAAAATCTAATTATTTTTTTAAAGTTGATTTGGCACTGTTTTACTTAGGAGTGGGCATCAATCAAGTCGAACCAATAAAATCGGTTAATTCAAACTGTAATTATCAATTTGGTTTGGTTTTAACTAAGAAAAAGTCAAACGATTTAAAAACTGAACCAGACTATATATGATTTGATTTGATTTTGAGCTTTTATAAACTAACCTAAACCAAACCAGATCATTTATGTGTATATTTATTTGTTTATATTATATTTTACATGTGTAATATTCCAATTAGGGTATAACTATATAAATGAATTGAGCTATATTAGTTATGGAAATTTGAAGTTTTATGGCATGTTAAGCTTTAGGATGCTTTTGTACTCTAGAAAATGATTTTTTTTTAATATTTTTTATTTTGATGAAATACTTTAAAAATGATGGCCAGTTTGACATTGCTGTGCTGTGATAATAATTGCTATCAGATTTGCTGTGAGAGAAATCAGCTGTGAAAGAAATTAATTTGGTGTTTGGTAAAATTTTTGTTAAAAGTATTGTTGGTATTGATTTTACACATAATCTAAAAATGATTGCCACATAATCATTAAACCTAGCACATCTTCGAAACTGATTCCTGCATAATTAGAAAATGAAAGCACATCATTAGCTGCTTTCTCTCATAGCAATTTTTAACAATAAGTGATTTTCTACAATTTACCAAAGGGGTTGGGCTTCCCAAATTTTTTGAAAAATCACTTATCACCCCAAATAAGCAATGCCAAACGGGCACTAAGGGGTGTATTCAATTTAGATTTTAAAAAGTTGAAAAGTTTAGGTGTATTAAATCACGATTTTATAGATTTCTATTCAATTCTGGGTGTATTCAATTCAGATATTTTAAACTCCATTCAAATTTTAGGCCATGACAAATCTTTGCTTTCCCCCAAAGATTTTGATAGATGTATTATTTTTATTCTCAAGATATGATTTCACCACTAATACTACCACCATCTTATCATGACTATCACCATCGGCGCTGCCGCCACCACCACCACCATGATAGTTATCGTTGTCGCCACCACCACCATAGTCATCACCGCCAGCCCCCACCACCACCATCACCTACACTGCCCGCACCATCACCGCCACCACCTCCACCACCATAGTCACCACCCTTACCCCTATCTCCACCACCACTACCACACCCACTATCAGCCCCACTGTCACCACCACCATAACCACTGCCAATATCAACACCATCACTGTCACTGCCATCGCCACCACCACCACCACCACTACCACTCACCTCCTCCACCACTACCTCCCTAACAAACCATCATCGCTACTGCCATCACCACCACCGTTATCACTATAAACTCCATTCAAATCAATAATAAAATTCTAACAAGCTCAATTAAAATCTATACACGAATTCAATCAAAATCTACGTAGAGTTTGTAGAATTCAATGAAACTCAATTAAATTCAATTAAACTCCATCAACTTTATAACTCTTTAAAAGTCAATCAAGTATGGAATAAGTTGAGAATTTATTGGTTATAATTGAGGTTAACAATATTAAAGTGAAATTGATCCCATCTGAATCTGAACCATGCCCACCCTTAGTTTTACTCACTAGTTACTTGGAGATTAATAGCATTCATGCCTCTAAATAAGAAAGGCTTTTTATCACAAATGGTCCCTTAGGTTTGCAAAATTATCGCATTTCGTCCCTAACATTTTTTTGTGACACTAATGGTCCCTAAGGTTACCCTTCACACATCAAAATGGGTCCTTGCCGTTAGCTTCTGTCAAATTTTCTGTTAAGTAGCTAATGTGGCACGTGTGTAGAGCCCACACATCCAATAGTATAAATCCATGTGGCTTTAAATAAAATATATTATGTTTTAAATATTTTAAAACTTAAAATCGAAAAAAAAAAACCCGTACGTTCTCCCTATGCCAGCGCCTCCATCCAGACCCACTCTTTGCCTCTCTCTCCCTCCTCTTCCTCCCTCCTCTCTCCCTCTTTCCCTCATCTTCCTTGGTCGTGGGTTTCATTGATTTGTAGGTTTTGGTCAAACAAAAAAGGAGCCAAGTGTACTACAACTATGCCAAGCCCAATCTTGGTTCCAATGCTGCAGAGACAGATTCTGGGTAAAAACAAGTGCATAAATTCAACAAAAATGATTAGCTTCTAATTTAAAAACTGAAGTAAATTATCTTCCTTGGTTGTGGGTTTCATTGATTTGCAGGTTTTGGTCAAACAAAAAAGGACCCAGCGTTTATTTCATCAAGCTGTGGTAGATGCAGAAACTACATCAAGCTATAGTAGATTAGCCTGTAAAAATCAAGGAAGATGAGGGAGAGAGAGAAAGAGAAGGGAGGACAAGGAGGGAGAGAGAAGCAGGGTGGGTCTGCGAGGGTGGGTAGGAGGCGCTGGCAGAGGAAGATTTTGGTTGGATTATTTAAAATATAATATATTTTCTTTAAAGCCAAGTGGATGTATATTGGATGTGTGGGCTCCACACACATGCCACATCAGCTACATAACAGAAAATTTGATAAAAGCTAACGGCAGGGACCATTTTGATGTGTAGAGGATAACCTTAGGGACCATTAGTGTCACAAAAAAACGTTAGGAACGAAATGTGATAATTTTGCAAACCTAAGATACCATTTGTGATAAAAAGCCAATAAGAAAATAGTGACCGTAAAGCATCGTAGAAAGGGTTTTTTTAATATATTTTTTAAGGTTATATTTTTGTTGAAAGCTTTAAAGAAGAAAGGGGATTTATCCAGTACAACTGAGCAGGACATATCAACCTTCTCTCTCTTTTTCTTTGGAGCTCTGAAAATGGCGCAACCTCAGTAGCCATCGTCTGCCTTGCCCTTCCTCCTCCAACTTTTGCAACAAAATGCGCTCAAAGGACAAAATCGCCTATTTTTACGACGGTACACTTCTCTCTCCTCCTCCAACCCTAACCCCTCACCCCAGCAAAACTTTCTCTGTCTCTTTGTGCTTCATAATCCCTTTTGGGTTTTCTTTAATTATGGATTATAGCTTTTCTTCGAACATTTAGTTTTTGTAATCATATAATTATGGAAAGTTGAGAAATTGAGTTTCACAATAAAAATGGGTATTGCAGGGGATGTGGGTAGCGTCTACTTTGGACCGAACCATCCCATGAAACCACACCGGCTATGTATGACCCATCATCTTGTCCTCTCATATGACCTCCACAAGAAGATGGAAATTTATGTTAGTATCCCATAATACTTCTGAATTTGTTTTTGTTTTTATTTATTTCCACTTTTGTTATTGTACGGAGTAATAATAACTGGTTTCATTTTTTGTAACATTGGTTATGCAAGTTTTGGCTTTAAGTATCAATCTTTTTGTTGATTATTATCGTGTTTCTCAGCGGCCCCATAAGGCGTATCCGGTGGAGCTTGCGCAATTCCATTCAGCTGACTATGTCGAGTTTCTACATCGGATTACGCCTGACACACAGCACTTGTTCTCGAATGAACTGGCAAGATGTATGACTCTTGGATATTTATATATTGTTATTTTTTGCTTGTATGTGTGCATAGATTGTTCTTGTTATGAGCTTCAACACAAAAAAGTTAAGTGAGGGTATTTCGCCAGAGCTGTAATAGAAAATTTGATCATGAGATAGGATTGTTCACTACACTTACAGAATACTAAAAAGAAGAAATCATGATTGACCCTCTTATGCAGAGATGGGGAATTTTAGAACTTCCTGAGGGCACGGTTGAGCAGAAGTGGTGGAGTCAAAATCAATTGGATGACCTCTGACCGTGTTTCTGGTTTCTGATTTTTGGCATGGTCAACTTTAATGTTGTTAACCACAATATTGAAGTTCTCCTTGACCCTTTTAATGCTTACTGATTGCTCTTATGCGAGTTAATGTTATCACTCAATTACATGTGAATCAACAAAAAAAGGTTGATCTGGTGTTAATCAACAGCCCATGTTAATTAGTTTAATTTCAATGAATAGGTTTTGCAGAAAGGAAATGTCATTGACTGCACAGTTAGGTTCTGGGAATCACCAATTCAAAATGTTTGTTATACCTTTCTGAGTTTTTGCTGTAATAGAGGATGCTAAAAAAAACCTCTGATTGGCTCTACAACATAAATTTTCAGTTATTCTTCTCTTTGAGTGGCTCTCTTTTGCTTCCTACATGAGCACTTCAAAGATCTAACTTGGCTGCAGTCACTGGAATCTCTATCTAATGTGCTTTTTAATTTACTGATTCTTTCTGTTTTTCACTATGCCAGATAATCTTGGAGAAGATTGCCCTGTATTTGATAACTTGTTTGAATTTTGTCAAATTTATGCTGGTGGAACAATAGGTAATTCTAGTTATATGAAGTCAAAAAAGTGTGGGTTCTGACTATTCTGCCATATGTACTGATTGAAATTTTTTTATACAGATGCTGCACGTAGGTTGAACAATAAACTTTGTGACATTGCTATAAATTGGGCTGGCGGACTACACCACGCCAAGAAGTGCGAGGCATCCGGATTTTGTTACATCAATGACTTGGTCTTGGGGATCTTGGAGCTTCTAAAACATCATGCCCGAGTATTGTACATTGACATAGATGTGCATCATGGTGATGGCGTAGAAGAAGCTTTTTATTTTACTGATAGGTACATAACCTGTATATTATAATATGGTTAAGGAATGTGATAGTTGAATAACACTAGAATTATGACAATAATAAAGCTAACCTTACTGTTAGCAAAATTACCTCAAATTTTTAGATGCAATAATAGATGTACAATATTTGATTGTGTTGATATAAGTTTAATGCCTTTTCTGGACAATTTTTAACTTGCTAATTGTTGCATCTATGATGTTGAAACTACAAGCAAAAGGGTGTTGGTAATAAGAGATAGAATTGTTGCTGGAGAAGATAAAAGTTTGCATTCCTGTATGTAATATACTATTTATAGATGAACAAATTAGTGTTTTAATATACTATCTTATGCATATGGTATTTGGGAATTTGGTCCAATAATAAATTGTTAAATCTTCGTATAGCTTAATTAGTTATTTTATCTATCAAAATTCGTCAAAACAAAAAGTTCTTATCAGAAAGTAATGTGATTCCTCAGATAAGACCTGGGTTGGTTAATTAAGGCATGTAAGAGTAAATAACACTCACCATTATTTATACAGTTTCTTTCTTCAGATTTTGATAAGCTAAGTTGTATCCAACCTATTTATCTCTTACTCAAGAATTGCAGTCTTGGTATCTGTTTTCTGCTTGTTGCCAATCCTATGATAAAATAAAAATTTAAAAGTTGATAGAACTAGAATTTGCTCTCCAATAGTGACAAATGTTCTAATTGTTCAGTTACCAGAATTTTTAATGTTGGTTTTGTGATTTTGTTGAACTCTAATCGAATCACTGAAATTTGATTGACAGGGTGATGACGGTTAGTTTTCACAAATTTGGGGATATGTTTTTCCCAGGAACGGGTGATGTTAAGGTAACTTTTTAAACCTTTTTGTTTGTTTTTTGTAGTATTTTCAATGGTGAAAATTGTTAATCATATGTGACACATGGTAATAAGTTAACTAAGCTAGCATGCTTGCTTTTTTTTTTTTTTTTTTGGTATGACAATATGGCATGAAAGATTTACATTATATAACCTGTTACCTGAGGTGTTATATTACTGGAAATGTTTTATGTTCCGTTGCTAGTCTTTAAAGTTGAAATTTTAATGGTATTTATTAACATTATTTATTTTGAAGGAAGTAGGAGAAAGAGAAGGAAAGTTTTATGCCATCAATGTCCCACTGAAGGATGGAATAGATGACACTAGCTTCAATAGACTTTTCAAGACTGTAGGTTCATTTAGAAAAGCAGATTTTTGTCTTTTGTTTTCGCTTGATGGTGTCAAGTGTAAAACTTTACTTGCAAACTTCAATTTTGTAGATTATTTCCAAGGTTGTTGAAACATATCTACCAGGCGTGATAGTTCTCCAATGTGGGGCAGATTCTCTTGCTGGAGACCGCTTGGGCTGCTTCAATCTCTCCATTGATGGTGCGTATCTTATTGTAATTGAAGCATTTTTTTTTCCTCCTCTTCAACCATGTCATACTTGTTTTATTCTTCAATTATTAATGGTTTCAAGCTATTTGGAACTTTTGGTAGTGGCATATGGTTTGTGGTAAAATTTACTCTGTGGTGTCATTTGAATCCTTCTTACAGGTCATGCTGATTGTGTTAGGTTTGTGAAGAAATTCAATTTACCCTTACTGGTATGTTCTTCATTGGACTGAATCTTACCTGCCTTTCATCAATGTCATACATCTAGCATACAGAGGGAATGTTTTCTGCCTACAGGTTACAGGAGGTGGTGGATACACGAAAGAGAATGTTGCTCGGTGTTGGACGGTTGAAACTGGAGTTCTTCTTGATTCAGAACTTCCTAATGGTAGAGCAAGTGAATTTTGTTTTATCAAATACACTCTATTTCTGCCACTTTCATTTATTTTTATTTTTTTAATGGAACAGAAAAACTTCATTAACACGAGGTAAGAAAAAATCTAGGTAAGATAACCAAGCTGGTATGATCTTGGCTTCATAAACCAATGCTGAACATATTGTTGTGCATTGTCTTTGTATAGACTTTACGATATAATATTTCTTCTCTCTTCTTTTGGGGCTTGCTGGGAGCAGGTAGATATATTGCATAATCATGATAATTATTTTCTAGGTTACATTCTTCAAGCTGATTGTGACATTTTTAATGTTTCGGTTAATATATCCATAAGCATCTGGAACGAAATATTAAAAAAAATTATTTCAAAAGCACTGTTATACTCATAATATTGACATAACCCTCACTCCCTCACTCTCTGAGATTTAAAAAAAACCATTCATATCTAATTTGAAACTTTAATGATATTTTGATATTGATCCCCATGGAGAATTCCTGAGGCTGTTTCTCCTCTTTCTTATAAAAAATTCATTTGCTTCCAAGAAGTTTGTCAGAATGTGAAATGGCATTCAGCGTGCATATCTTGATATTAATAAGGATTCGTGCTGGAATAAATCAATGCTGTTTCAAGACTCATTGATAAATAGAATTGGTTTTATATTCAGTTGCTCTTATTCTAGATCCTGTATGATATTTTAAGTTGTTTTGGGTTGTTATGCAGCTTTGTATATGACTTATCTTTTTTAACTGTCATGGCATCGGAGGGTTGAATGACCTATACCCTGCTGGTTCCTGTGTGCATATCTTCTCGCTAGCCAGCAGTGACCTGCATGCATGACTGTTGACAAGTAAATTCCTGTAATTAATGGTTTTATTTTTGGGAGTGTTTTATTTATATGTTGTATTTATTTAGGTAACTAGGCAATGATCATGGCATTGGAAGTTTGGATAACTTATGCTCTGCTGATTTTTGTGTGCATTTGTCTTAGCTGGCTAGCAATGACTGCATGCACTTTTATATGTTACTCTTTCTTTTTGCTATCGTCTTGTTGGTCATGGGCTTCTGAATGTAATTTTTTGGCTCTCTGAACTGCTCGTGTAAGATGTGTGCTTTAGTTTCAACTTTTGGCTTTTCATTAATATTTTCTTCTTCTCATGTATTCTCTGTTTGGTAATTCTTTTCCATTGGGTTGTTGGGTTTTTTTTTTTTGAAAATGAAAAAGAACAAATTCTTGTGAGGAGAATCTTACCACTCCAGTGATAGTTTGAGTATCCTTTTTTTTCAAAATAAAAAAAACATGTGGGAGTCCCTTTCAGTACTGTTCTATTCTGGACATGGATGTCTTATTTGCTACTACCGTTTTTCTTTCTTGCAGAGATCCCGGAAAACGAGTATATCAAGTATTTTTCTCCCGACTTCTCTTTGAGGATTCCAAATGGACATATAGTATGTCATCAATTAGAATTCATAATTTTGCATTATACATTATTTAAAAGGTTGGATTTTCTTTCTTTGAACCAATTTGATTGCCACAGCTGATGTTGGTAGTATGTAAAAAAGGATCAGTTTAATAGGTGGATATTGAAATACTTAAAACTTTGTCATTGCTAGTTTTTCAGTTTTCCATGATTATTCAGAACAGCCTTAAGTCCTTTTATTTCTTTTGGGTGTGCAGGAGAACCTAAATAGTAAATCGTATATTAGCACGATTAAAACGCAAGTCTTGGAAAATCTCCGTTGCATCCAACATGCCCCTAATGTACAAATGCAAGAAGTAAGCAATGTGTTATCCAGGTATCTGGCATGTTACCTTATCAGTGTCAATCTGGCACCACCCATAAAATAATTTTTTTATTATTTTTAAAATCCACTTAGTCACTGGTTTAGATTGACAGTCGAGCAACATAATATGTCAGAATTGCATAATCTTGAAATCCTAGAAAGAATTATGCTCTAATGTGATGTGGTTCACTCATTTCAAGTACCATGAAGGACAATATAAGTTAAATCTATAATGCTATGTGAAACTCATAGAATCTATGCCTGCATGAGAGATCCAAGAATCATGGTCTGTTAGATGTATTGATTGGGGCATTCCATCAACTTAAGTGACGATATTCTCCCTGTCATTTTCTACCATCCCTTAGATTATAAAATGGCAGCATATCATACTTAGACTGCAGTCAGGATATAAGTTGTTGTGACTTAGGATGTGCTCACCATGTTAATATGATACTCCAAGAAAACTGATCACCGATGGGTCTCCCATATAATCCAGATTGATCCAACACAACTGGTGTGACACTCAGTGCGCACTTTCACACCATATACACAGAACTGGGGTATCAAATAGGTTATCGTTAGGGTCTAAAGTCAAATCTCTAAAATCCTTGTCATGACTCAGATTTGTGTTACGTGGCATGCAGTTTCCTTGATCCCACATGATGGTATTAGGTTGATTCTGATACCATTTATCACAACTCAAGGATGCATTCGCCCCATTGACGTGATATTTGAAAAGGCTAGTGACTGATGAGACTTCTGGTAATGGTTTACATAGCTAGGTCAACCAATGCAATAATTGTAGGACTGAACATGCTCAGACACTGATATCCAAGTAGAACTAATATACCATATAATTTGACTTGAATCATTGTGTTGCCTATTGCAGGTTCCACCTGACTTTTATATTCCCGATTTTGATGAAGATGCGCAGAACCCTGATGAACGCGTGGATCGTGAGTTAGATTCCTTGAATTATTAGCACTCACACTAGAGTGCACTAGTATGTTTAGGACTTGAAATCTGTTGATTTTCTTTCAGCTGACTCTTCTTAATTTTATGAATTGTTGTCCTCCCAGAGCACACCGAAGACAAGCACATTCAGCGTGATGATGAATATTACGAAGGAGACAATGATAATGATCACAACATGGATGATGTGTAAAATTGGCATGAACACCGTTTATTCTTTTGGACATAATTTACTTCCTTTTCAGTAAGGGAATGTTTAACTAATACCGAATTATGTTAAGGCCTGTTCATCAAGAAACAAGGAATTCACAGATGTGTCTGTTCATATTGGTTTTGAGTTATTCCAGTGGATCAGAGGTGTTCATCTTAAGCTTTATTTGATGTACAGATTCGGCATGTTTGTGAAATTTTGGAAGCACGGGAACTGATAGAAGCTATAGAAAGTGGGCGTTCTTGGCCTTTTCTTTTTGGGGATTGAGAGCACCAAATTGCTTCTTTCAAGTCAGTCAACTATGAAATCGAAGCCTTTATAAATTAAAACCTGGTCCTTCTCCACCTTTCCCTGTGGGCTGTCATTTAATTCTTGCTTTGCAAGCTTTGATTTTATCAAATTTGAGTTGCAGTATTAAACATTTTATTTTGGGTTATTTACTTAAATGGTCCTCAAATTAATACCTGATTTACATTTTGGTCTTTAAACTAAATTATTTGTTCAAATGATCCACCAACTTTTTATTAATTAGTTTTCGATCTCCGTTATATTTTCTGTTAAATTTAGTAATGTGAGTAGCACATGCTATATTTGTGGGTATAAATAAGACTTTTGACAATTAAAAAATAAAAATATATAATTAAAAATTAAATAATACAAAATTTTCTTTATTTTTAAAATTAATTAAAAATTATAAAAGAATAAAAAAACAAAAACGTAACCCCAAAAAAACAAAAAACTCTCTCTCTCTCCCCTCAACGACCACCCTCCCTTTCCCTCTGTATTTTCTTCTCCCCAACGACCATCCCAGCCTCAGCCGCAACCCACCCCCGATCCTTACCCGCGACCCAACCCCCACGACCTTCACATGTGCTCTCCCTCTCCCTCTGTATTTTCTTCTCCCTAACAACCATCCCATCCTCAGCCACAACCCACCCCAGATCCGTACCTGCGACCTTCTCATGTGTTCTCCCTCTCCTGTATTTTCTTCTCCCCAACGACCATCTCAGCCTCAGCTGCAACCCACCCCCGATCCTTACTCGCGACCCAACCCCCGCGATCACTTCTTGAACACAATCGTCGGAGCTGATTTCTCGACCTCCAAACCCTAATGATGATGTTGCAGAGGAGGAGGATGGGACATGGGGGGAGGGGACATAGGGTGGGCTATGGGAAAATAAGATGGGGCGCTGGGGCAATGGGTTTATCGGGCTGGGGATTGGGGGCTGGGAGTTGGGAAATAGTTTTTTTTTTCCTTTTGATTTTTAGTTTTTAATTTATCTACTATTTTATTTAGGCTTATTTATGTACATGTCTGCTTTCGAACTTATCTCAGATTACCACATGTGTTTGCAAACGTCTCAAAGTACCTCCAACCTTTTAAAAACTGTTTCATGTTACTCGTTTCGTCAGTTTTTTAGACGTTCCGTTACCAGTGTTGGGCCCCACTTCGTTTTAACCTTTAAGCTCTTCGAATTGGGGTTTCTCAGTTCTAACAAAGAGGGAAATTGGAGAAGAGGGCTTAGGGTTTGTGAAAATCTAAGGTTGGCTTTGATTTTGGGAGAATCTGGAGAAGAAATCATTGGCTTGGCGTTAGACTATAAGGCTAGAAAGTGCGAAGATTGTGGTGCTTGGAGAATCTGGCGGTTGTTAACCCATATGTAAGTGGACCCATTCTCACTCGATTTTCTTAATTTTGGCATGAGCATTGAACTGCTATTAAGGTTTTTTTTTTTTGTTTTTTGTATACTTTTTGAATCTGTGGTCCTGGTGTGGTCATTGTGTGGTCCTTGCGTGTTCCTAGTTTGGTGTGTTGCTGGAGTGTTTTTTTGTTTTTTCATATACTTTTTGACTTTGTGCTGGCCCCAATAACCTTATGTGGTCATTGTGTGGTTCTTGTTTTGTCTTTGTTACCTTTGTCCATTTGTTAAGTGAATCTTCCTCTTACATAGATAAAGATGCTGATGAGGTTGTCACAGTTAAGTTTTTCCATGGAAATAAACTAGTTAAAAATAGAAATGATAGTGAATGGTCTTATTTGGGTGGTGAAGTCAGTTTGTTTGATTATTGTGAGATTGACTATATGTCAATGTTAAAGCTATTTGGAATGGCTAAAGATTTGGGATATGATGATGGGTATGATGTGAGTTTTTATGGTGAAGAGTTTGGAACTAGTAGACTTATTCAAATAATATCATATAGTTCGCTTTAGCTTGTATGAGCACGGTACCTAAAAGCAATAACATGGTGATAGTTTTGTACTTGAAAGTAGTGAGCCTGAATTCAAGCCAAGTGGGGAATGATAGCAGTGATCAAGAATATTCTTGTTTTGAGGATAATGATAGCAGTGATTTAGACTTTGAAGACAGTGACTATGCATAGAGTGATAAAGAAATTGACTTATTGAAGAAGGATGATAAGTGGTTTGAAGGTTATGTGGATTATGGTTGCATTGACAATTATCCTAATGCAGAGGAAAATGATGAGTCAGAAAATGGAGAAAAGTCACCTACACTTACCTGCCCAAATAGCTCTTCAAGTGAAGATGATGCAGTAGGTGAACTAAGAAGGAAGAAGAATAGGACGCCAAAAGGTGAAGATTTCAGACCTGAAATTGATATGGAAAACCCAGGTTTCAAAATAGGTTTAAAGTTTGCAACTGCTGAGTTGTTTAGAAAAGCTGTGAGGATATACTCCATTAATTGTGGAAGGGAGCTGATATTTATGAATAATGACCGTAACAAAATAAGAGTAGTCTGTGAAGAGGGCTGTCTTTTTGTTATCCATGCTTCAAGTGTTAGTGGTAGCATTTACCTGCAGGTGAAAATCTTTAATCCTATACATGTTTGTAGTAAGGGGACTAAAAATATACATGTCACTGCTGGCTGGTTGGCTAAAAGATATTCTGGGCAGTTAAGGCTCAATCCAAATTGGACTGCTTCTTCTTTTGCAGAGCAAGTTCACCAAGACTATGGTTACAGACCATCTAAAGCAACTGGGTACAGAGCAAAAGCCATGGCAATTGACATTGTAGAGGGGTCTTACAGTAAACAATATGAAGTATTGTGGGATATTGTCATGAGTAAAGAACCAGAAATGTGGGAAGTACAGTTATCATTATATCTGAAATGGAAGGTGATAGGTCACGGTTTCAAAGAATTTACATATGTCTTGCAGCCTGCAAGAAGGGATTTTTAGATGGTTGTAAGCATGTGGTTTGCTTGGATGGGTGTCATGTCAAATGGCCTCACCCTGGGCAAGTACTTTCTGCAATGGGAGTTGATGCAAACAACGGAATGTTTCCACTTGCCTATGCATATGTAGAGATTGAGAGCGATTCAACGTGGCTGTGGTTTTTAGAATTATTGAGTGGTGATCTAAATATTACGAATAGCCATGGTTATGTATTTATGACTGACAAACAAAAAGGGTTAATACATGTTGTGGATGCTTTATTCCCTCATGCAAAGCATAGACATTGTTTGAAACATCTATATGGAAACTTCTATTTGGAACACATAGGTCTTGCTTTGAAACATCAAATGAAAGCAATTGCTAGGGCCACAACAATGCCATGGTTTCATGTAGAGATGAGAAAGATGTTGAAGTTGTCTAAACCTGCACATGATTGGCTTGCAGAGAAAGATCCTAGGCATTGGAGTAGGGCATATTTTAAGAGTGATTCCAAGTGTGACATGCTTATGAACAACCTATGTGAGGCATTCAACCGTAGCATAATGGATGCCAGATACAAGCCTGTTTTGACTATGCTAGAAAGAATTCGGTTGTATATAATGTTGTTGATGGCTGGAAGAAGGATTTTTTGTGAGAAATGGCATGGACAAGTTGGGCCAAGAATTAGAAAGATATTAGAGAAAAACAAAGGAAAAGCTCAGTGGTGCATTCCTAAGGCTACTGGACAGAATAAGTTTGAAGTAATGCACCATAGTGGCCGTAACTTTGCTGTTGATTTGAATGCCCACTCTTGTTCATGCCATGCTTGGGATTTGAATGGAATACCATGTTTGCATGCTTGTACTGCAATAAGTTGGTTTCATGGAAATCCAGAGGACTTTTGTGATGCAGTGTACAAGAAAGAGGCTTACTTGAGAGCCTATGAACCAATGATTATGCCCATGACTAGCCAAGATCAGTGGATGAAGATTAATTTACCTCCATTACTCCCTCCGAAATACCACAAGCAAGAAAACAAGCTTTTGATGAACCTAAACAACCTGCTAATCCATATAAGCTTCCTAAGTATGACATCCCTTTAAAATGTGGCAATTGTAGTGGAGAAGGGCATAATCGAATTAGTTGTAAGGTATGTGTCATTATAGGCTTATTGCTTTATATTTAAATGTATTTGATTTGGTTTCTGACTTGATGACTTTGCTTATTAGGAACCTAGAAATCCCAATATAAAGCCTACTAGGAAGAGGAAAATTGCCAACGAAAAACTTGCAGTAAGTGCCACGGTTTCAACTATGTTTTCACCAATCAAAATTTTATATCATGAAAACTTATAATAATTATTTGTTTTAGGTAAGAAGGAGATATGGTGGAGACCAAAGTAGCGGACAACAGAGTATGCAATTAAGGCAAAGGAAACAAGCAAGCAGTTCCCAAGGGCCTTCTCAATCCCAGGCATCTCAAGTAGTTGATGCTTCTCAATCTCAACCATCTCAAGCAGTTGATGCTTCTGAATCCCAACCATCTTAAGCATCTGAAACCTGCCAAACTATCTCGAGTACAACAACGTAGAAGGAGGATGAAAGATCAACAGAGGAGCCATTTTGTCAAAGATCCTTTTTTTCATCCTTGAATGTTGTGGAAGAATTTAATGGTCCAGACACGTTGTGGAAGACTTGAATGTTGTGGAACACTTTTTTTCATCCTTGAACCTGTTATAGTTTTGCAACCTGTTTTGGTTTGTGCTTATATTTGGTTTATGGGATTATTGATGTCTGTTATGGATAATTGACCATTCAGTATGTCACCACTTGTAACCTCTAAACAAGTTACCATTCATATCACAGATCAAACTTAACTATCATTACATTACTTAACTAACTAGCATTACATTCATGTTACCATTTGTAACCTGTAAACAAATTACAATGAACAAACTTAACTAGCATTACATTACATTACACCAAATTACATTACATTACACTAACATAACTACTGCCAAAGTGCCTTACATTAGATTAGCATTTGTTCTCAAATTAAATTTGCCCACTAAACTACTGCCAAAGTGTCTTACATTACATTAACAATTGTTCTCAAATTACAGTGCCCACTGAACTACTGCCAAAGTGCCTAATTCATCTTCATGGCAAACACTACCAACCAGGAAAGCAACATAGCAGCCCACAATATTTTTGACTTTGCTTGAATCTTTGCATTTTCCTTCTCCACCCTATCAATCTTCCTCAGCAAACCAGGTATCAAAGACTTTGAACGCTCACACATTTCTGCATCAAACCACTGAAAAAACCTACATCCTTTTTCTCCACTTTCATGTATCAACCAACAACAATGACTGAAAATTTCCTAATAAAATGACTGAAAATTTCATCAATCACTGACAATTTCATCAATAAGAACTCTATCAATTTGTGATGCCCAAAACAATGACTGAAAATTTGATCTTAAACATGCTTACCTTTGACTTTGGGCAGACTAGAAATCTCCGCCCTGGGTTTGAATTGGTCCAAGAAGTCTACATTCGTGCTAACTTCCCACAATGATACCATTGGGCATGCCTTGCTTCTCCTTGCTTCTCTTCTCTTTCCATCAACCCAAATCTTCTACTCCACAATCTCCCAATTTCAAACTCCACCTTAGAGTTTTATAAACCCCTAATTTCTTCTTTAGCTTCGCCCAAAATCGAAGCCAACCTCAGATTTTCACAAACCCTAAGCCATCTTCTCCAATTTCCCCTTCTCACCCAATTTATCCATTTGTTAGAACTGAGAAACCTTATTCAAAGAGGTTAAATGTTAAAACGACGTGGGGCCCAACATTGATAATGGAACATCTAAAAAACTGACAGAACGGGTAACGTGAGACAGTTTTTAAAAGGTTGGGGGTACTTTGAGACTTTTGCAAACACATGTGGTAATCTGAGACAAGTTTGAAAGTACAGGGGGCATGTACATAAATAAGCAATTTATTTAACTGGACCATTTTGCCCTTATATTTGATGTCAATATTGATAGAATGTAACGGTAGGACCAAAGCGCCAATTAATAAAGAGGTGGTGAACCATTTGAACGAATAATTTAGTTTATAGACCAAAATGGAAATCAGGTATAAGTTTGAAGACCATTTGAGTAAATAATCCTTTTATTTAATACTATCAAATGTGAATGAATTAGAGATCGGATACTGTCCATGGGATGGCATGATCACATTTTATACCACGTCCAAGTAAAACTTGCCACCTCCACTAGCAAAACCGCTCCCTCTCCCCAAAGGTTTGTCTTAAGGTTTTGGGGGCCGTAGGCAAACTACAAAAATGTGGCCCTCAACCTTTTTAAACGATTTATTTTTCCTGAAAGAACTTTGAGAAAATATTATTTGAACTCAAATTTAAGATAGTAACATAAAAAAGACAACAAACAATATCTAATTTACATTGTACGCAACAAGAAAGGGATAAACAAACTTAAATTCTTTATCAAATCTCAAATTCTAGTACATAACACAAATTTGCTTACACATAAGCAAAAAAATTCTTCAAATTTGTGAATCTTCACTGGAAATTTGTAAATTCTATAATAATTTCCCAAAAAACAAAGCATGAAATTCAAAACTAAAAGAAATCATTAATCGCCATACCAGTTAAACAATTCGAACTTCACCTATCATTGAATCATTGAGAAAGAATTGATAAAGCGAAAAAAGTGTTTGTGGTCAGGAAGTTTCTTTTCCATAGTTAAAAATGTGAAATTAGGCTCAATATGTTTTATTTCTTACATTTATTCGAGTTTGGCTCTTCTTAATTTTGAAAGCCTAACATAATTTTTATATATAAATTTGTTTTATATAGTGGCATACTAGGTATATATAGGGATTTATATAAATTAGAGACCTAGGTGGCCACCTTGCTTACCTGTGCGCAAGGCCTCATTTCCCGTCAATGTGCGTCAGCGTTCCCAACATTGGCAACTCCCCTTCACCAGCCTCTCCCTTTCACCGATTTCTTTCTGGGAGTTTCACTAAAACACCCAAAATGGAGGTTGAAATTATAAAAAAACCCAACACCCAAAACACTTTATAAACACACCCAAAACCCATCATTACACACACTCAAAACCCATTTATAAACACACCCAAAAAGTTGACTTTGGGGTTGATTTTGGGTGTGTTTCTATGTTTAAATAGTGCTTGGGTTTTTTTATAAATACATGTCTAGAATTGGGTTTATTTATAAATTTGTATTTCTTTCTCTTAATTAACAAGGAAATGACAAGGGACTTATAGCTCAAGTGGTAAAAAAGTATTTACCTATGTGCCTAAGATTCTATGTTCGAATCTCCCCTTTCTCAACATCGCTTGCATCCAAACAATAATAATAATAACTAGAAAATGGCAAATTTGCAACAATTGTTGTTGACAATTGCTAAATGGGTATGTCTATGTCCTGGGGACCATTGTTGGCAACTTTGCTAAAGGAGCATGCCTAAAGAATTCTATGTTTTTCTTTCTTCTTTTTTTATGAAAGAATATGTGAAAACTTTGTAAAACTTGGGAGGCTATGTGAAAATATGAATAATCTGAAGAGAAGATATGTACATTTAATTTAATAATTTATGTTAAATTTTTTATTTTAGCAATTTTTTAACAAAGCATAAGTCCAGGAAAGATTGAGAGGGTAGGCTCCTTAGTTGGGAGCATTTTTGCTCACTACTTTAACCTAAGGTGTATGCTCACCACTCTTTTCAACACTTGACACATGTCTATAAGCATAACCATAGTAACATAAATTAAAGTAAAAAGTTAACTATAGTTAGGCATATAGACACGTGTCATGTATTAAGAAAGGTGGTGAGCATATACTTTGAGTTAAAGTGGTGAGCAAAAATATTTCCCTCCTTAATTAATCCGATGATTAAACCCATATACGTAGAGATTGCTCACCTAATTCCTTGGGCTATACCCCCATGCTATTTTTGTACTTGTTTTGTTTCAATCCATTTCATCAATAAAGACCATCGGCTTTCTCTAAAAAAAAATAATAATACGTATAGCCGCTCGGCTATACTTAAAAAAATATTGTATTTAAAGAGTATAGGCTATTTACAGAGTAAAGCGGACGGCTATACTTCTAACACATTCTTTCTATTTATAGGGTAAAGCCGAACGGCTATACTTTTCAATATGATGTTTGTACAGTAAAGCCGCCCGGCCATACTCGTAATAATAATAATCGGTATTCAGTGTCTCTTCGTTTGGAAAGCGATAAAAAGGAAAACGGAAAAAGAAAGAAAATATCTTGCAATTACCAAAACATATCTTTGCATATTGACAAATCCAAAGTATATATACCTTCCTCTTTTTTTCTGGAAGAGTGAAGAAGTTATCGTTTCGCTGCGTATGACCGTCGCTTTGGTGAGAAGCTCGACAAAGTCTGCTCTCTTTTGGTGTTTGGTTTCTGAGGTAAGATGGGAAAACAGAAGAAATATATGGAATTCAACAATCCAAATTCTTGTTTTTGCCAAGAAGTTTACTTTCTTTTTCCTCATCAGTCATTCTATATATTTTTGCTAAGAAGCCTAATTTTTATAAACAGGGTTATGCATGAACTGTTGGTATTGTCAAAATTTTATATTTTCTGCGTTTGATTATGCACAAGTTTGTACAACCTTTTGTAGAACATATATATTTGTAGAAATTTTTAGGTGAAGCAGATTGAATTAGAATTATTGAGCACGTTCATTTCAGTGGTTCATGAGTGAGTTTCAGCTTATGTATTGATGTAGGAGCCTAAGTCAAGACAAGAAAAGGAATTGAATATCAAGTACTTAGTGGGGATTTCATCGTCAGAGGTATTAAATAAAAGGTTTTTGGAGTAATTAATCGTCTGCAACGTCCTAATGGCTACTTCGGAAGCTGTTCGACAAGTGCTATCTGGGGCATTACCTCGCCTTGGCTGTTTTGATCTATCTTTAAGCAATGTAAATGGAGTAATCTCAGTTCAGTCCGGTGTAAATAATACACGGAAAAGAAGTTCAGTGTGTGCCCAAGTGCATAAACATTCGAGAATTTCACAGGACCGCAGGAGAATATGTGCGTTCCAGGCTAGAAACAGTGTTTTTCATGGAAAAAATGATGTTAGTAGGTTGAATTCTATGAGTTGCAAATGTCAAAGGGCAGAAAGGCTTACTGGGGCAACTGAAGAAGATCAGCATAGGGACTTGCTAGTAGACGACTCAGATAAAGAAACATCTATTCCTCCTAATGGCATAACTAGTCCAGGTATTAATGAATTTGAGGTGGATCAACAACTGAAACATGAAGAGGGAGGTTTTGGATCAAACGGTAAGCCGGCTACAGCTGGAAAACATAAAGCTTCTACACAGAAGGTTAGGACCAATTCGATTGAGGATGAAGCATGGAAATTACTGAAGAACTCCATGGTCTATTATTGTAATAATCCTGTTGGAACCATTGCTGCTAATAATCCAAGCTCTACTAGTACCCTGAACTATGATCAGGTCTTTATTCGTGACTTCATACCTTCTGGGATAGCTTTCCTTTTAAAAGGGGAGTATGATATTGTGCGGAATTTCATTCTTCATACCCTTCAGTTGCAGGTAAAGTATTCTCTTCCTTGAGTATCAAATCCATCATTACTAACTGTTGCTTACTTTTGACTTAAGTTCACCTGATTTTCATGTTTAATTATTTGATTTCATGCGGTCGGTGGTTTTGTTCCATTTTCTCACAAATTTTCTTAGAATTTTGTTATAGTAAGGTTTCCACCCACAATGTTTGATTTAACCAATACAGAGTTTTATGTTAGTTACCTATGTTTGATCTGAAAGTCCTTTTTTTACTACACATTTCAATCAGTTGATTCATCTATGCATGTGTGGTTGTGTAATATTTAAGATTAGTTTCCAATGTGGATGTTATGACTTAGGGACTCGCTCCCTACATCGACACAAGACTTCAAATGGGTTGGTCATTATTGGAGTTTTTCATAATCACTTGATATGGTCTAAATGGACCCAAAACACAACCAATATGAGACTCAGCACGCACTTGCACACATAGAGTTGGCTGTCATAATATCCCTAACGTACTTGTCATGGCCTACAATTGAAACCTGACATCCTTGTATTTTGTTATGTTGCAATGTTTTCGAACCCATGGAGTGGTAAGACTCACCATATCTACAAGAGATCCCAAAAAACTAGTCACCTATGAAGCTCTTTATAATCGCTTTACATGGTTCCAAATTCCAATTCACCCAAATAGACAACCAATGTGGGACTCAGTCCACTACAATATAGGACTCAGCACACTAGCACAACCCACACACAAATAGAATTGGCTATCACAATGGAGGTTTATTCTTTTCTAAAAACTGGCACAGCTGATGAAGTCTTCCTCTCTTCCTTATTCCCTGTAAATAAACTAATATAGGCATTAATATTATTTCTTAACCTAGTTTTTGTATCCACTTAAATTTTTCATTATTTTTCCCATAACAATGAGTTTATTTAAAGTCTGCACACCAGATGTTTTTTCCATTTATAAATGCTTTGACTTCTAACATATTGTTACAATATCTGGAAAAGAAAAAAAAACACATACTAATAACATTTCGTGCTTAAAGAGGGGCCCGTTATATGCAATCTCCCTTCACAACATGAATTCTGTTACACATGTTGGCTTTCATTGTACTTAGTTTAATTTGTTTCTGTCATTCTAGTGAATTGCACTCCCTTTTAGCTTAATTTGTTTCTGACAATTTCCATTCTAGTAAATCACACTACTTTTTAAGTTTAATTTGTTTCTGTTCTTCTAGTGAATCTCCCTCCTTTTTATTACAGAGCTGGGAGAAAACTATGGATTGTTATAGTCCTGGTCAAGGACTAATGCCTGCCAGTTTTAAGGTTCGCACTGTCCCACTCGATGGTGATGATTTTGCAACTGAAGATGTTTTGGATCCGGACTTCGGTGAAGCTGCTATTGGTCGTGTTGCCCCTGTTGACTCTGGTAGGTAGTTCATTGTATTTTATAATTTCTCTTTCAAAATATATTTCCGGTTATGGAGGTATTAACATTTTAATATTTCATAATTCAAGTCTCTCACATTGGTCAATGATTCGACGGATTTTGATCTTTCTGTCAGGGTTATGGTGGATTATATTGTTACGGGCATATGGAAAATGCTCTGGAGATCTTTCAGTCCAGGAACGAGTTGATGTGCAAACAGGGATAAAAATGATTTTGAAGCTGTGTCTTGCTGATGGTTTTGATATGTTTCCAACATTACTGGTCACAGATGGTTCATGCATGATTGATCGCCGCATGGGAATTCATGGCCATCCTTTGGAGATTCAGGTAAGTATTTATTTTTATTTTCATGAGTGCCTTTTAAATAAATTCTTTTATCTTCTTCTGTACATGGAGTTTTATTAGAACTCCTCCTTTTTTGCTTATTTCTTGTCAATACTGTTAGAGTAATTCCTATTTGTTTTACATCCCTACTACAACTTTGCTATTCATTGGGGTAACAGGGTGCTTCCCTATCTTCTCTCTATTTTGTTTCTCCATTTGTAAAAAAGTTAGCATGCTTTGCTTTGGGTTTCTCGCATCTGCATGCCTTCTGCATTTGGCCCCTAACATTAAGGATATTCTGGAATTATCAGAGACGCTTAAATTTTCATTTCCTGTAAACTAATAAATTTATTTACTGGTCTAATCATAAGGAGAATTATTTCCAAATTCACAGGAAATTACTTTCAAGTTTCCCCATAAGCGTTGTCTGTTACAACCTCAGGATGCAATATCAAATAAATGGATGTAGTTCTGACCAAAAAATAAGTATAATTAAGTAAAGAAGTGGATGTAGTTATATGATTATCATAATGGTATGCAACAATGGATTTCAAAAAATTTGGAAAAGCAATAGTTTCGGGTATACATATTGCTGCATAAGATGATAATGGAGATCATTGCATTACCATTGCAATTGCCAGAGTAGGTTTCAAAACATCGTTTGTTGATTACATCACCTATTCTCACATTGTGTCTGACTGGTCGTTGCAGTTATTTAGAGGACTTAGTGCTTGTTTGATAGGGAGGACTAGAGTAGACTAGCAAAATGCCTACATTTCATGTGCATTCAAGGCATAATATGGATATTGTTGTCTAACTTGGAGGATTAAGGAGGACTGTCTATAAGAGGTTGATGACTAAAACTTATCCCCCTAATCCCCTTGAAATGGTGGGATTATGAGGGATACGTTTTAGTCATCAACCTCTTATGAATAGTCCTCCTTAATCCTCCAAGTTAGACAACAATATCCATATTATGCCTTGAATGCACATGAAATGTAGGCATTTTGCTAGTCTACTTTAGTCCTCCCTAGCAAATGAGGCCTTGGAGCATCCACAATGGGCTCCTTAGACAAATTTTAGGGAGGAATTGGAAAAATACAACTCCAACCATGCTCTCTATCCACCTCCTAAAATATGGAGACCTCTAGGAGCTCCTAAATCTGAGGAGAGAGAAAGGACTCCTAGTGGCTTCCTATAATTTAATGTTGCTTTGTTTTATGCATTTTAAACTTTTAATTAATACAAACTTTTTGTTTTTTGGGTATAGAGATGGACTAATTATATTGAATTAAAAAATAATTATAGTATTTATTACTCTCTAAACTATGGAGTATGATTGGAATTCAAATTTTATAGAGAGCTCCTAAAATAGCTTTTGTGTGTTTTTAGCTAAATTTTAACTAAAAAATAGGGAGCATGATTGTAGATGCTCTTAGGGTTTAGGCAGAGAGGAAGATTTTATTCGGGTATAGAATCTGATTCTGACCCATGTTTGTTGACATGCATCTTTAAGTTTACAAACTTTGTGGCTGCATTTATATAATGTCGCATGTCACTGTTGCATGTCCTTGTAGGCACTGTTCTACTCAGCACTACTTTGTGCACGTGAGATGCTTGCTCCAGAGGATGCATCAGCTGATCTTATGCGAGCACTAAATAATCGTCTGGTTGCATTATCATTCCATATCAGGGAATATTACTGGATTGATATGAGAAAACTCAATGAAATATACCGATACCAGACAGAGGAATACTCATATGATGCTGTTAATAAGTTCAATATCTACCCTGATCAGATTCCATCCTGGCTGGTGGGATTTATGCCGAGTACAGGTGGGTACTTAATTGGCAACCTGCAGCCTGCTCACATGGACTTTCGTTTCTTTTCTCTTGGAAACTTATGGTCTATTGTAAGTAGTCTTGCAACATTGGATCAGTCACATGCTATATTGGATCTTATTGAAGCAAAATGGGATGAATTAGTGGCAGATATGCCGTTTAAAATATGTTATCCTGCTCTTGAAGGCCAGGAATGGCAAATCATCACAGGCAGCGATCCCAAAAACACGTAATGCCTCTACCTTGACTTTTGAAATTTCTTCTATCCTGGTTCCTAACACCTCCTTTACTTGATTTTATGTTGTAGTCCCTGGTCTTACCATAATGGAGGTTCTTGGCCAACATTGCTCTGGCAGGTAAGTTTTTTATTTGGGTTTGAGTGAAAACCTTTTTTCTCCTGTTGCCCTTGATCTTGCTTTGCACTGCTGGATTTATAACTCCCGATATATGCTCTGCCATCTATTTTTTTTTTTTTTTTTTTTTTTTTTTTTTTGGTTTGCGAAAGTTTATACCAGTTTAGTATCTGTATTACCTCATACGGCTTTTGTTTTTGACAGATATCATGCCATCATGTAAGAGCATTTCCAATCATACTCCTTAGGACTATAAACTTATTTTAGGAGCTCTTTATAAAATTTCTACTCCAATCACGTTCCTTAATTTAGGGAGTTATAATGACTCAGAATCGCTAGAAATAAAGTGTTTATTTAAAATAATATTAAAATAATCATCATTAATGATGAGGAGCCATTGGAAGACCATTTCTCTCTCCTTTGATTTAGGAGCTCCTACAGGTCTTGTTATTTCATGAGCTGGATAGGGAGTATAATTGGATTCGAGTTTTTTTAACTTCTCTCCAAATTTTAACTTAGGAGCTCATTTAGAGAACCCATTGGAGACATCTTATTTGTTGTACTTGCACTCTCCAAGATATGATGTCCTACAAGCAAACCAGGTTTTCATTGCTACCATTTGGCTAGTGCACCAACTTACAAGGAGGAATCACTTATTAGGGGAAAATACTAAAAACAAAATTTGGAGCCACTATATTTTTTCTTTCTAAAATATGAAATTGTTCAGATTCACCATGAAACACATGGAATGTATACTGTGTAGCCCAATTTGTTAAATCTTATTATGCTTATGCAGAATCCCCATTTGTGTTGACCATAAAGCCAGATAACCGTAAAGAATCCTTGCTTTTGTTGAAGGGAATGCAAAAGTTCCCTGTTAATTTCCACTAGCATCTAGCAGTGACTAATTATTTATGTTGTTAACATCAATATGGGGCTTGTTTCAGCTTACTGTGGCATGCATAAAGCTTAACAGACCAGAAATTGCCGCAAAGGCAGTCGAGCTTGCTGAGAAGCGCATATCTCTTGACAATTGGCCTGAATATTATGATACTAAGAGAGCAAGATTTATTGGAAAACAGGCACAGCTGTTTCAAACTTGGTCAGCTGCCGGATACCTTGTAGCAAAGCTCCTCCTCGCCAACCCAAGTGCAGCAAAGAACCTTGTGAATGAAGAGGATTCAGAGCTTGCAAATATATTTTCATGCATGATAAGTTCCAGTCCAAGGAGGAAACGTGGTTGGAAAAAACAGATTTTAGTTTGAAGCAGAGAGGGATCTGGTGGAGAATTCAACGCAAACATTTCTGAAGTGAACCATGCAGCCGCGAATGAAGTGAAGTGTGAGACAGAGGTTTAGGATTAGTTCAACTGCATCCAAGGATGAAAATGTCGGCCGATATCCCTACATATCCCTTTTTTCAGGTGTCGATACAGATACAAGGGGGTAAGCCTATTTCTTCCCCCTTATCGGCGATATATCCCCGATATCCTCGATATTTACCGATGTTTACCTATATTTCCCGATACTAGACAAATAACCCAGAAATTTGTCTTCGTTTTGAAAGTAATCATAGGTCCTTGAATCAATATCAAAAACCAAGCTCTAATACATAGTAGCTTCTCCTTTCTTCTCTCCTCAATCATTTCGGCTATCTTTAGCTCTTCCTCTCCACTCTTTGGTTGATCAGTTTCTTGTGTGTTTGATTTTATTTTTCACCTAATCTTCTATCTCTCATTTCCTTTATCATAAAGTCTGATTCTTGTAATATAATGTTGGGTTATGTATTAATGTGTTGGGTTGGGTTATGTTTGAATAATGTTGTCTTTGTTATCTTCAGGATTTTCATCGCGCATTATATATACATGTACATTCCATCATATGCATATCTTATACTTAGTATGTTTTGAATTTTATTAGACCAATACATTCATTGATAATGTGCTTAACATCTATGAAAGTTTCAATTCAAAGTTCCTTGTTTTTAAGCCATTATCTGTCTTTTTTGTCAATTTTCCCCAATACCTAAAACGACATCAATATATCCCCCGAAATATCTGTAAATTGAAGGCCCGATAATATTTGTATCGCTGATATTTTCATCCTTGACTGCAACAGACGAAGTTCATATCAGTATCATTGTACAGTTGCTTTAATATAGGGCCATTTTTGTGAACAAAATTTTAGTTTTCATAATGTGAAGAGTTGTGAAAATGATGATCTTGTGGTCAAGTAATATCCAATACTCCCTTGAATTCATCTTGTTTAGTGTGCCTTGTGATGGATCCAAAGATTGGTTAGATGAAAATGTTGATTATTAGAAACCCTTGATGGAAACATTGGTTTTTGTTTTTTGATTTTGTTTCGGGGCTAATGGAAACAGTGGTTTGACTACAGTAAATATACAGAGGGTAGCATGAGCAGAATTAAAGGAAGCTAACAGCTAGAGGGATGAGCAAGAAACAAGGAAGTCCGACGCCAAGAGAGGAAACGTTGAGTAAAAGGTTCCTGTTGACAAACCAATGCCTACCAGATAGCAAAGAAAGCAAACTTAAGCCATCATAGCATGAACAACGTGGCAAGCAACTAAACCCTAAACATTAGAAACAAACTGACGAAAAGGAAAATGCCTAATATCCCAGTTTTTCTTTCCCAACTTAGATGGTAGTACAATGTAAGAATGCCACTTAGGAACAAATCAATCTTACACAATGCTAGAGTACAAGCCCTAATGGGAGAACAGAAGTGCTAACATTTTGGAACAACGAGAGACAGTTGTTCCCAATTTATTGCATCAACATGAGGTAACAAGAACGGAAGCAAAAGACTTGCATAGGAAGTATAACACGCCCTAAAAAAGGTTGGATAGAAGATATAGCTGATGCATCTGAATTCAGTTTAAGTTAAACAATAAATGTAAAAAAGATAACAAAAAACATAGTCTAATAACAAGAAAAAAAAAAAAAAAAAAAAAAAAAAAGAGAGAGAGAGAGAGAGAGAGTCAGACACAGATAAACTAGTAATAGAGTAACTTTTCATTTCTTTTTTTGTCGGGTTAAACTACTCGACTCTAAAATTGACAGTGATATTCCAGTTGCATGATTAAATCAAGTTATACACCAATTTTTACAATGACCCAGCGAAGGTAGCAATAAATTCAATTTGAAGCTACCGTTCACTTACAAATGGCAATATGGATCTTACGTAACGGCTTCAGATCACGAGCAAAAAGCTGCTTTACGCAACAAGCATTATGCAAAATGGCAATTTTGCTGATCAATCCAAACTGGCAATGGATTGAGTTCAGGAATCCAAAATGTGTTTGTTCTCAGCCAAGATGCTGTCCAACAATGATTCACATGCATCTTCAAGTAAATCCAAAACCTGCAACATCATGATGTTTCATAATTAGTATCAACTCTAAAAGTACCTGAACAATTAGCATGCGATACCAGTTACGCAGCCGAATTCTTCCTTTCCTCCCCATTTGCTCTCAGTTTCTTCATGTATCTTCTATTCAAAGTAATATAAGCAGAATCCAATGGTTGATTGTTCTTTATTGAGTTCTTGGCTGTGACCTGAACTGCTTCGGATTGGGGTTTTACTTTCTTTCTACCTTTCCCTATGGCTTTCTGGGAGTTCTCTAATTCTCCCTTTTTAAGCAATATTATGAAAAAAATGAGCCACTGGATTCTAAGTTAAATAAAGTTAAACTGAGATTTGAATTTTGAAGAAAGGAGAGAAAATGGGTGGGAGAAAAAGGAGAGGATCATCTTCCTACTGTTTAATTGACATAAATCCGAAAATTTGGGATGTCTTGCTGAATAACTAAAAAGCCACCCGCTCTATCTCAATTGTATTCTAGTAAATTTAATTTGTACAAGACGCTTAACAAAGTTTGACAGAAAACTTTTAGCAATAGGGTTGCCACTTTAGACAAAGTAATTCTTGACAATTTCACTAAATTCCTCACATGCATTTCACAACAGATAAAACCATTATGATAATTGCTGCCACTTTAGATGTATGCTCTTTGATTTCCATTGCATCAAACATACATCCATGATAAGATCAAGAACAATGGTTAACAGGTATTGATATATTACCTTCTCAAAACCTTGTGGTCCACCATAATAAGGGTCCGGTACTTCAGTTTCATCGTGTTTCTTACAATAAGAACACATTAACCTAACCTGCATGATCAATAACAACATAAGACAAAATAATCAAATTCATATCAATCCACATTGTAGCATCCCCGTTCTAAGTACTAAATAGTAAAAACAAAGTACAAACCTTTTTATGAGCATCCTCGGGTAGAGGTTCTCTAAATTTCCACCTATTAAACGCCTCTATTATATCATCTATAGCCAATATCAACGCCACAAGTTAATAAAACACATCACACATATATAAAGTTATAAACATGTAGGACTATTTGAGTATAAAAACATATAAAGGGCTGAGCCAAATTTCCAAGAAAAACAAAATGCATATGATGGTTTCTTATATTCCATGTATAATGAACCCACCTCGGTTCTGATTGTCCATTGCAAGGATAAGATCGAAATCTCTAAAATCAGGCAGCCGGATTGGCCTAGATAAAGAAGTTATCTCAATGCCACGCCTTTTAGAGGCTGCCCTCATTCTTGGGTCTGCTTGATTTCCCTTTTAACACCAATAAATACAATTAGAAATTTGGAATTATAATTCACACAAAAAATAAAATGAAATATTTGCAGCCAGGCTTTGTTTGTGACGTCCATTTTCTTTACCTTCCTACGTTTTTTTTCCGCAACTAAAACAGCGGTTATGGTTGAAAATAGCTCCTACCTCATGGTAATCAATGGTTCCAGCAGAGTCAATCTTGAACTTGGAATCCAAACCCCTTTTCTGCACCAAGTCCCTGAAGACCCCTTCAGCAGCTGGGCTTCTGCAGATGTTGCCCAGGCACACAAATAGAACAGAGAAGGGCTTGGTCTCTGCCTCCGTGGACGGGGAAGAAGCCGCCATTGATGCTTTTGTCACAGACCCAGATGAGAAAGAGGTGTTCGATTTGAGGGAATGTGAACGAAAGGTTGATTTTTGAAGGGATGGAAATTGGGGAAGAAGAAGAAGAAATGGGGGTTTTAGAGAGGGGTGGTTGGAGGAGTGGCAAAATCGTAAATTTGAAGGGGTTGCTACTCTACTGTGCAATACCCTCATTCTCCTAGGACACAGAAAATACTATGGAAATGTGTAGTTTCAGTTTGGGTAGATATCATAGAATAAAGAAACGCTTAGCGTAAAATAGAAAAAAAGAAGAAAAAGAAAAATATAGACCATACAAACATTTTGAAGAAGCTTATGGATGTATTGAATTGTGCACACGCACATCACAAGACAAATGTAACTGGGAAAGAAGCAAAGGATTGAAAATCTTTGGAGCCATGAGAAGGTGGGCCTCTTGAACCGTTTGGCTAAAAAAAGAAGGTATTAAAGGTACGTGTTATAATATAAATGGATTGAATACACCACATCAACATGTTATTGGTGTATCGAACACACAATAACTTCTCGTTTATAGGACAAGATGAAGCTGGAAACATGAGCACACCCCGGGTGATAGGATAAAAAGAAAAAAGGAAAATGCTAATCCGATTTCCATTTCTCTCATCTACTGTATCAGTATCCATATATCATACTCTACAACTAGCCACCAGTATTTTTGAGTTACATTTAATTTACACTATAAGCTATATTATCAGTTAAAAAAAACCAATGAGAAATTTCGGAAAAAGAAGATTTCAACTTTCTTCCCCATATGAAAGTAGAACTAAAACAGCTCAAAGTCTATATGCTCTCCTATACCCTCCAACTCCTTGCCCTCCTGTTTCTGTGAAGCAGAGGGTGCACCAAATCCAACATCACACCACCTGGGAAGCTCGGGCGGTACTGCACACCGAATCAATGCCCAGTTAAGGCCTTCAAAGAAAGGATGCTGCTTAATCTCTGCAGCCCCTTTCACTGATCCTAAACGATTTTCGGGGTCCTTTATTAACAGGCCTCTGATCAGATCTCTTGCATGAAAACTCACTATAGGGGTATTTGGGAACTTGAGACTTTTTGACACAACGTTGGCCAATGTGTCCTCATTTCCTGACCCCTTGAAGGGTGTCCTACCATATAACAGCTCGAACAAGAAGATTCCAAATGTCCACCAATCAACAGCACTCCCATGACCTTCTCCTTTGATGATCTCCGGAGCAAGGTATTCATGGGTTCCAACAAAGGAGTTGGATCGGGCACTAGTTGGCTCCACTACAAGCTGTGGCAGTGGGCTGACCTGGGCAGCAAGCTCGGATTTTATTTTCCGAGATTTTGCAGCAGCAGATAGAAGTCTGGGAGTGAAGCATGAGACTTGCCAGGATGGTTGGAGGCAAAAAGGATCAATGCAGCTAGATTCAATGCACGGGCTTGACATCTTTTTTGTGCTCTCCAAAACAGGAGACGATGATTTAAGCAGCGTTGGATTGACAGCACATCTGAGTGACAAGTCAAAATCTGTGAGCATGATGTGGCCATCTTCTCGGACCAGGATATTTTCTGGTTTCAAGTCTCGATACACAACTCCTAGCATGTGTAGATACTCCAAGGCAAGGAGGACTTCAGCGACATAAAACCTATTGATACAGGATAAAATGGCTGGAATTAGTTTAATGAACATTTAAAGTACTGGAGTACAATTATGTTGACAACAATCAATCATGTACTTAATAATAACCAAGAAAACAATGTCAAACAGCTACAAAGTCGGAAAATAAAAATGTCAAACAAACAGCGGTAGGACATTTCTTAGCTCTACCAAGTTAGCTCAAGCTACTAAAAAAAACCCTAGTATTTGAGGCTAGTCATAGGATACAATCTTCCTACAGTAATCACCAGAATCTCCATGAATTTGCTAGGGTAAGTCAAACTAAGACAAATGATAACTCCAACGCTGCAAATCTAAAAATCTGTGGGATTTAAAATTAGATCCCAAGATTAAATCCCAGGGAATTAAAATAATCTATTTGACATACCAAACATGTGTGCACATGGCCATAGTGTGCCATCAAGCACGAATAACATCTGCCTTAAATATTTTAATCTATTCTGACTGGTCAATATGGAAACTCAATGAGAAAAAGGAAGATAACATAGACCAAGTACTAGGATCAAACAACTATCAAATGAATTTCCCAGATATGGAAGAGCAAGGAAGAAAACAAAGATTTAACCTACTAAATACTAATGTCAAATGTATGCATCTTATCATAGTCAAATTTTGCATTATTTTGCAAACCTTAAAAAAATAAAAAGAAAAAAGCACAGGCACAATTAACTAAAACTGGACCTTAAGAAGAAAATGCACCTGGCTGCTTGTTCGCAGAAACTCCTGCCGGGTTGCTTTTGCCGCAGGACATGCAAATCTCCACCCGGACAGTACTCCATAACCAAACATGAGAGCTTCTCTGACACACAATGGGCATATAACGTAGGGAGAAACGGATGATCCAGTATTTCCAGTATCTCTCTTTCTGTTTGAGCCCTAATCATTTTCTTCCTGGTAACCAAAAATTCGTTGTCCATCACTTTCAAAGCAAATACGCAATTTGTTCCAGTTAGCTCAGCAAGATAAACAGTCCCAATGTCCCCTGAACCAATCCTCCTAAGCAACTTAAAGTGCCTCAAACCTAAGGTTCCATGCTGCTTCTGAACATGATGGATGGCTTCCCATCTCAAGTCTCTTGACATGTGAGGCCTCTTGCCGCTACGACCAGACCCACTTAGACTGCTTTCCTCACTAGTGCTTGTAGTGCTGCTATAGTCACCAATGCTACTTTTTGAGCTTTGTGAGAAATCCCCTTTTTCTCTTGATCTTGACCTCTCATCGACTTTCGTCACTATTGATTTAGTTCTATTACTGCAATTCGAAGGGAAATCTGGTTTGCTTGTACCTCTATTAACAAGAACTGAATTCATTTCTTTGCTAAGACTTGTACTGCTGGACACCAGAGATTCTTTCTCATTTCCTTCCCTTTCATGCTTTGGGGTACAATTGTGTGTCTGGTCCTTTAACTTACTAGTACTAGGGCCTAAATCATTATCAACTTTCCGATTATCTGATGTGGAACTACTGGAGCCAGAACTTGAATCCTGCTTGACGTTTTTCTTAACAAAGCTTTTGCTCCCGAGGACTGGCTTGATTAAATGTGAACTACTGGCAGAGGATTTGCTTACCTTACTACCAGTGCTGGAGCAGGATGGAGAAGCAGCAGAGTGCAGCCCCTTGTCAGAATTTGAAGTATTAAGTGGAACCTCAGTTGAAATAGAAGCAGCTGCACCCATCTGCATAACTTTCTTGCTATCATGAAAGTTAGATGAAGAATCTGTGGATTCCAGTTTTCTATCTTCTCCCTTCAATTTCTCACTTCTAACTTCTGTTGAAAAAGGAGAAATTTGGTCTTGTGGTGCTAATCTAGTCAAGCTAGCATCTGGCATCAGTGCATCAGCCAAAGTCGTGGCAGGATGAACCTGTGGCTCTGTTTGCATGGATCCAGGATTCTTCTCAGAATTTTTGGATGCTTCTGGTACAAGGGAGACCTCTACATAATTCCCTTTAACTTGATTCATAGGAAGGCCAGACCCATTGGCCTCATCTACCACTGCCCTGTACAACCTTTTGATAGTTCCTGCTTCTGAGACCCCAGATGAACGACCTGGCCTCGACAGTCGCTTCATGGCAGCCATCTCTGATGCCTGAGAGATGCATAATCCTCTCAATGCTTGCTTCAAACTCACAGGTTCTGAAATTCCAATACCCGATGCATTTGATGAACTAACTCTCATTGGCCTTTTCATAGCACTCTTCCGCAAAGCGTCTTTGCTAGCCTCATTCGACAGACCTGAGATCCTAGCTGAATTTCTACCATCAATGGCCTGAAAAAGCTGATTAATATCATCCTCTATGGAATATTTATTTCCTGATTTTAGCATGCAATGCTTTCCACCTTTCTTGTCCGTTTTTGACTGAGAATCTACTTCGTCTCTTGATTCCACAATTTCACATGTAGGGCGCATTGTACTCATATTTGATGGATCAAATGAAATACTGCAGAAGATAGTAATAGCCCTGCAAATTCATACTAACCCAATTCTGACAAAGCAATGTGAAGATATCGGAACACAGAAATAGGAAACAGAGGCACAAATCCTCTGAAATTCGCTAGAGCCATAAGGATGTGCAGACTTATATGGCCCACTAATAACCCTTTACTAAGTCCAAAAGGAAGCATCCAAGGCCTGCCATGATTGCTGCATTTCAGTTTATATCAAAGTTGTCAAATTACATTTTCTAAATGTAGCAGATATTTCTATGCTTTATCTCCACAATACTACAATTAGGATAAATATACCACACAAGCAATTTATATAGGATCAAATGTAAAATCAGAAGGTAAAGCGAAATTTTCACTGATCTCACTCCAACCCCAATTAATGAGAGGTACAAAACCCTCTGTTTAGTTTTATTATTTCAAATGTCACAAAATCCCCCGCCCTTGGGGGGTGTCCTCAACGAGGAATGTGTACTAGGCTACGGGCGAATGTGTTCAAGATTCCTTCAATTTTAAGGGAAGATCGAAAAGAATAAAACCAAAACAAAAAAAAACAAAAAATCCAATTTGATCTTCATAGACAATAAGTATGACATCTGACACAATCAAAGATTGGAATTCCCAAGAGTTTTGACGATAACAACATTGAATTTCACCTGTGCCCAACATCAATTGGCCGGTTACGGCTTAACAGAAAGAAACAAAAGTCACAAAGTGCAACTCCCATACTTTGGAAACTACGAAGAATGACAGTCACTTAATGATAATACCTTCAGAACAGAAAGCAAACAACAATCTTCCACACACATAAACACAAACCTTAATATCAATCAACCATAATATACACGCAGAAACAGACCTAGACTAAGATAGCCA